TTTTTTCTATTCATGATAGGTGATCAGGAAGTTAATGAGTGTGTAATAATAAATGAATGAATTTCGCTATTGTTGGGTTTCACATCGCACCAACACAGTAAAGGTTAGATGGCGAATTTTCAGCTTTACTGGTTGAGGATTCTCAGGACTCTAGGTGCAATATTTCAGGCACTGACAGGTACCTGAGTAGAACCACTGATGTTTCGTATTCTAACTCAGGATAGGTTCCTCACATAAAAGAAACCAAAGTCCCTAATGGGATTCGAACCTACAGCAGTGAGGGCAAGTGGTTTGAAGTCAACAATGTTAACCACTCGGCCATGGATGCCCCTATTCTGAAATGTATTGTAATATAGGTAAATACAACATAATTTATAGAGCAGACAGTGTGCATTGTGCAATATATACAGAAAAGCTTTTGATTCTTTTAACAGGTGTGAATGTTCTGTAACTCTCATCAGAAAATATCTTAGGAAATCTTGCATAAAGTAGAGCAAAATATTGTAAAGCAGTTTCATTGAAACATAGTTAAAACAGTACGTATTGCAACTGCTAAGGGAGATATAATTGTCTAATAAATTAAATGTTACGATACATGTATACTATATGAGTATAAAATACTAATTATAAACAATGTTTGTCAGCTGCCTATGATCAACAGTAAAGTCTTGTACCTTTGACTACATACAATAGAATCTGAAACCTTTATTCAGAGAAATAATTGTGCTTAAAAATAGTTGTCGGGTACTATACAAATATGGGTTTTTTTCCAAGCAAAACCCCTGATATAAACTTGCTGCGGTAGCTTCACATTTATGATTCCATTACCAATTACAATAGATTAGTCACCCTGTTGTGCATATTTTAGAAGCTGTACTGTACAAGTTTGTTTATACTGGGGATCAAGTCCAAAATATTCTTAGTTCCAGAAATTAAGTTTTTTTTTTGGTCAAATTATTTTTACATTGGCAAGGCTGCTTAATTTTTGTATTTTCACATTAAAATTCTAAATTTTAGATAAATTCTTAAGTTGAAACAATATTTTATTTATAAACATTTCATTTACACGATAATTGACAAATTTAATAAATTGTACAGGTTAAGTTAGTAAAGCTTTTTAAAATAAATTCTTTCTTCAAGTGCAATGAAGGGCATTTTATCTATTACATAAATTCAACAGTTTAATGCTGTCTGTTCTAATTAAAAACCATAGTCATACATTTGTAAACAACCAATTAGGAATGATGAATGGACTTTGATGGTTTTTAGCTCACCTGAGCATGCTCAGGGTGAGCTTTTAGGATCGATGATTGTCCGTCGTCCGTTCACATTTAGTTGTTAACACTCTAGCGGTCGCATTTTTGCCTCAATCATCATCAAACTTGGTCAGGATGCTTATCTAGTTGATAGCTCGGATGAGTTCGAACATGGGTCATCTCGGATGAGAAACTAGGCACAAGAGCTAAAAATAGAAAAACCTTGTTAACACTCTAGAGGTCACATTTTTGCCTCAATCATCATCAAGCTTGGTCAGGATGTTTGTCTAGGTGATAGCTCGGATGAGTTCGAACATGGGTCATCTCGGATGAAAAAGTAGGTCACCGGAGCTAAAAATAGAAAAACCTTGTTAACACTCTAGCGGTCACATTTTTGCATCAATAATCATCAAACTTGATCAAGATGCTTGTCTAGGTGATAGCTCGGATGAGTTCGAATATGGGTCATCTCGGATGAAAAACTAGGTCACAGGAGCTAAAAATAGAAAAACCTTGTTAACACTCTAGTGGTCACAATTTTGACTCAATTGTCATCAAACTGGTCAGGAAACTTGTCTATGTCATTGCAGGGAATAAATCGAACATGGGTCATCTCGGATGAAAAACTAGGTCACAGGAGCTAAAAATAGAAAAATCATGTGGCTACTGTTGTGATCCAAATATTCTGTTAATTGGTCTGAAGTTTGTTTTGATGATTTCTAAGTCAAGATCGAACATGGGGTCATCTTGGATGAAAAACTAGGTCACACCACGCCCAAATATGGAAAAACCTTGTTAACATTCTAGTGGTCACATTTTCGACTCAATTATCATCAAACTTGGTCAGGATGCTTGTCTAGGTAATTGCTTGGATGAGTTCGAAATCGCATGTGAAAACTAGGTCACCGGAGCAAAAATAGAAAAATCTTGTTAACACTCTAGTTGCTACTGTTTTGATCCAAGTAGCCTGGAAATTGGTCTGAAAGTTTGTTTTGATGATTTCTAGGTCAAGTTTGAATATGTGTCACCCGGGTAAAAAACTAGGTCGCACTGCTCAAATATGGATAATCCTTGTTAACACTGTAGTGGTCACATTTTTGACTCACCTGTCATGAGACTTGGTCAGAATGCTTGTCTAGGTAATTGTTTGGATGAGTTTGATAAGTCAGGTGAGCGATCTAGGGCCATCATGGCCCTCTTGTTTAATGTTAACACAGGAACAGTACTATCATGCCCATTAATAGAAAAAAAAATTAATCTGTTATACATGATGATGTGACTACGTAATCATAACTTGATTTAAAATTAAATCAAGTTCCTATGATGCAAAGCTATCAAAACAGAATGTTTAAAAGAAAAATATTCCTTCAAGTTTCTTTGTATTTTTTATCTGTTACATACATATTTAAAAAGTCCAAACTACATGATGTATTTTATCTTTAATAGAAAGAAAGAAAATTTTGGTCAATGAGTATTAATTTTCATGACATCATTTGGTTTATTGTCATCACGATTCTGACATCATATGGCGTTTTAACTTTCCTTGCTTAATTCAGCATGCATTTAATAATGTAATGATCAAATTGCATGCTTATATCTTATTACCTCCGTCTGTTAGATAAGGAAGTCTTGTTTAATGTGATGGAATGACTACTTTATGTCAAAAAATGAAGAACGTAATAATTCTAGTAACTAATTTCTGCAGCCATTTTTATCCAAAATACCAAATCTCTTTGTAGCGAATTTTTAAAATTCGTTTTTTTCTCTATTTATAGCAATAAAGATATTATAGTGTCATGTAATCGAGGAATTTTAGTCTTGTAGTCATTCAACAGTTAGCGAATATTTTAAATTTTTTTTTTTTTCTATTTATAGCAATAAAGATATTGTATTGCCATGTCTTGTAGTCAATGTGACATGCAGGGATGGTTTAAAGTATAGGCCTATAAAACATTAGCTTTTATTCTATTGATCATATATCATGCTTTTATGAAGATGATTTTTTTTTCCTGTGATGAAAATGGAACATTCAAATGGATTTTCAAATACTGGTATTCTCCATAGGATGTCTTGCTAAAGATCGGAAATTAAAACACAATTGTATAAAAAAAAAAATTTAGGTGAATGAAAGAGCTTTTAAATTTGGAGGTAAATAAATTCTTTATTAATTAGAGTAAAATTGAAATAAATACTTGTGTCATTTCGTGATAACATTGAAAGCTCTATGCACTGCCTCCAGATGGACTAATATAAAGTGATGCAAAAATTGTAAGTTTACATAAATGTATATATGTAAAATTATGTAAGTATTGAAAAGTGTTTAACAATTTTATGACATTTTGTGTCTGTTATATTGAACATTTGATTGAACTTTAATATAAAAAGATTTTAACATCATAATTCATATTCATATTTTGTAGCCTATTTACTCAGTGGAGGGATTTTTTTCACAAGTAGGGAATGGGCCCTTTTCTTGATTTTTTTTGGGGGATGAGTAAAACTGATAAGGGGCGGGGGGTAAGTGGGGAATGTGTGAGGGGCACAATATACCAAAACATTGATGTATACATGTATCATATATGTAATATTTGAGGTTTATGTATCCGTGCTTTAGACAAGCTCATATTACTTTATTTGCTCATATTACAATAAATGTAAGCATTTAAAAAAAAACTCTAAAGATTAATAATAGACAATAAGCGTAAGTTGGGAGGTGTGTGTGGAAAATTGATCTAACAGGATTCGTCAGAATTGGCATCAGAGGCAGCAGTGAGGAAATTATTATTATTATTTTCTGTAAAGTTTTACTGGTTTAACAGGAATACATGTATTATATCGTGTTTATTATTTGAATATATTAGCAATGTAATTTAAATCATACAAGTGTTTTAATCATAATATGTAAGTTAACATGTATATTTATCTTTATTGACATACATGTATAATTATATAGTAGTTTATAATAATTGTGGCATGTTACATTATCACAGTGGGGAAACACGGCTACTTCTTCAGTGCTCACAAGAAAAGAAATTAATATATAGATTAGATCAGTAACCCACTAAAAAGCATAACACCACTTGTGAGAATACTGTTTGATGAAATAAAAGTTCATCTTACACACAAACTCTCTCTCTATATATATACATGTATGTATGTACATATGTATTTTAATTATCTAATTGTCATATTGACATTGCTGTTTTTAATGGGTCAATATAGTATGTCATTTTTTTGTAACTAGAATGTTTATATCGATATATACCGAGTGACAATGATATTAGAATCAGAACAAGTAATTAATGTGTTGTTTTGATATGTTCACCCAATATTAAAGCTCATAGAAAAAAAAACCTGATGGATGTTCTGTTGTTTGGGGAAAAAAGTACATGTAGAATAGACTAGTAATAACAAATTTTGTATAGATAAAACAGGAGAATTGAGAAATTCTTTGTAGGCAAATTGACAAATTTTGTGTAGGTAAAAGATGAGTTTTCAGATTTTCTTTAAAGATTTTCTTATAGACCAATTAACACATTTTGTATAAGGTAGAAGATAAGGTTTGAGATTTTCTTTATACAGATTTTCTTAATTTTGTATAGGTAAAAAATGAATATTGAGATATTGTTTGAGAAAAAGTAGTATAGATCACTTAGACAGATTTTGTATAGATAAAAGATGAGAATTTGGCTGTTCAGTACAATAGAGATTATTTTATATACAAATTTCTTGTTGTATTTCCAGGTTTAAGATGGATGATGAATACATGTAGCATAGAGTAGGGAAAAGTGAAATATATTACGTTAAAATGTCAGCTGCAGAGACTGGTGGACAAGACAAAATACCAGTATTGAAACGCTCACCAGGGGGCAGTAAAAAGCAGTACCAATTTAGACATAGTGACTCAGAATCAGATTCTGTAAGTTTAATTTTGGTGCTAATTTTAAGTAGCATTTTTCCAGGTTCATGCTAATTTTTGTGGAAATTTAAGAGTGTTTTGATATAGTAAAATATTGTAGTGAACAATTACACGAGGAACTTTCTAAAATGTATAATTATAAAATGGCATATAATGTTATATAAGTCAATTACTTTCCACAGTTTCGTACTATCAATCAAAATAGACTAAGAAAATCTTTTAATGGATATAAATTACAAGGTTGAAAAGTTGTGATAAAATATTTGTATATTCAATAATAATTTGTAAAATGTCTCAAAGAGGTAATAAAAAATTAATGAAATATCAAAAAGCTATTACTAACCAATTGCCTGTTTTTAACCATGCAACCAGCAATTGCAGACCAAGATCAGCTGGCACATCCATTCATTATTTTCTGCACTGCTTGCTATTCAGTCAGAACAAATTGAGAAATTGCCCCTAAAAATGATGTATGGTTTTTGTCCAGATTTAAAGATATGCAAGTCCATTCTATATATTTAGAATGGTAAGGGTTAATTATGAAATAATACATATACACGTGGAGTATAGTGAAATTATTGTTTTAATTTTGTAAAAGAATATTTGAATTATTTCTCAAATATCTGTATGACAGAAATGTGTTTGTATATTTCATTATGAGAGAATAGCACATGCACACAATAATTTCTCAATGCTTTAAACCTTACTTAAAATAGCAGCAGCGTGATATTTTCTTCTGGAACATATTATTATGTGAACATAAAATACTCAAGTGTGCTTAATAACAGAGCCATTCTATGCTATAGTCTCTCTCGAGATTGACTATAAGATTTAGGAAACTACAAAGTTTCGTACTTTTCATTAATTTTATACAAGAATATTTCATTAAATAGAGCTTTATACCCTTCAAATGGAAATGCCTATGATTAATAACTAATAATCATTTTAAGAGAAAATTTGTAAGACAAGTCACAAGTATAGTACTAGTATATATAGTGACTGAATAGTGAATGGTGCACACCATGATAGTATGGATGTGCTGGATGATCTTGGTACAAACCCTTTTTTTTTTTTTTTGCTTCTATAGCAGGGGCCGTTATAGGGCTGCTTCCCCAAAGAAAAATTCTTTAAATTCACGCAGTTTTCCCAAAAAATTGAATTTACGTCAAGTTTTTTCTTCCCCTTTTGCAAATATACCGTGTAATTTTTTCCCAAAATTAAGGGCAGGGCTGCTTCCCCAACCTGTGAAAAAAAGCCCTGGACTGTTTATTATAAGTGCACCATGAAGCTTGTTTGTTTGTACAAGGGGATTACTTGGAAAAACCCACATTTGCTGTCAGTTTCGGATAACATTTATTGTGATCTTTGCATCAAATCATTGGTGAGTTTTGTGTTGGTAATATTCACTTGTTGATACATTATAATGAATGAATTAGATGTTAATGGATGTTTTCCATTATTATAGAGCATATAAATCATGGTTTGTCGCTTTACCTTTGAACCAAAAAAAAATATGAATTAATAAATGTAATGGAAAGATAGAAAAAGATAGGGATGTTATGTGTTAGTCGTATAGAGAATGTAGTCAGATAGAGTATGATTATATCACAATTGTAACGAATAGATTAAAGGGACTCCACTGAGGTTTTTTTACATGACGGAACTCGGGAAATAATTTTCCGAGATTAATGTTCCATTTGATGTAGGTCTAGACTAATAACTTGCATGCAAAATTACAGATTATTCGCTCACTCTGTTTTCCAGAATAATCATTGTAATTGTGAAAAATGACCCCAAGTTGCAAATTGCTTTCCACTGAAATAGCTCAAAAATATGATTTTCAATTCATTTCTGAGTATATTTCTTAATTATCTTTTGCATATTTTTCTGTATTGTGTGATCCAGCTGTTCTATGTAAGAAACTCGAATTTTATGGTCTTAGGCTTTTGAACCTCCGAAGTGTGTTTAATATTCAGAATAATTTTTATTAATAAATTAGTTTGATTCATGTGTTGGAAGCTATAAGCTTATTGAAACACTTTGAATCCATGCCATTCCTGGAACCTGAACCAGTACTTAATAAAGCTATGAAAGTAAAGTTACTTGCTCATAATTATAAAATCACTTTATTGTATAATACAAAATGTATTATTCTATTGTATACAGTGTCAAGTTATTAAGTCGCAATATCACAAGTTATAAGCAACCCTTGTGACTAATATACAATGTCAAGTGAAGTCATATTCATTCCAATGCTATGTAAATTTCATATAATAGAAATCATCAAAATTTATATTTAATTTAGTAAAAACTGTTTTTTTTCTCTGTAGGGCCATGTAATGATGAGATTTGTTTTGTCATTTAATGTTTTTTTAATAAAATGGAAATATAGGAAATTTATGCAATAACTGATGTAAAAATTTTTTACTGACACTCGGTAAATAATTATGACAGTAAAGTTATTGTAATATTTTATTAATTTGGAAATTTCTTATTAATATTTTAGGAATCTGGGGAACTGAATTGATGAATTGATGAATAAAAATAAATAATTTATAGACTTTAAAACTACATACCTTCAGATCAATAAATTAAAAAAAAAGCAAGAAAAAAAGCAGGAAAAAAAACGTTAATCAATTTCTGAAAATTCTTAATTTAAAAATGATCATATTGTCATTTTACATGCTTGATGTAAAAATTTGACTGATTTTAGTATTTTGGTTACCATAGTTACTGATGTTATCATTGAAATAAGAACAATTTTCAGTATTGTTATGACAATTATGTTACAATATTAACAGTCAGTTGCAGCCATGGCCCCCAACACTTCCTGAAAATAGTGAGACTGCTATTACTTTCAGATTTTCATTTAAAGTGAATAATTATTATAAGTGTTTGAAAAATAACATTGCAATGCATTATTTCAAATGAATTGTAACATATTAATTACTTTGGTAAATCGGCAAACTGTTAATCAGTCTAGTAAATCAACTGTTTATAAAAATAATTCAAAACGCTAAGCTGGTTAAAAGTTATTACTACATATTTTCAAAATTAAGTAGTCACATGCCTGACCAATTTAATTTTGTAAATAAGTCCGTATAAACTTTAACCTATACTTTAAGTCCATAACACTATAAATGATAATGTTGAAAGTATTTAATATTATTATGATTGTAGAACAATTGAGTGGTATATTATCTTATGAAGATAAAAAACCTTTTGAGTGGTTTTGAGGGGTGAGAGAAATATTCAAACAATGTATATGTTCATAAATATATTAAGAAATAGACATATAAAGTAAGATTTATATTAAAGCAGAATGACTCCAGATTCATGCTTAATTTTCATGAACATCTTGAAAATGTATTTAATAAAAGTAAAATATTGTGAAGTGAACAATTCACACATTTTAAATGGCCCTTAAGGCTTACAGTGCATGTAAATTATGCAAAAGAGGTCAATTATGGTGATGAATTATAAAATACCACAAAATCAATCATCAGTAGCACATTATAACATATATATTGATTTTATACTTGAATCTTTTTTACTTTTCGTAAAATGTTTATCCATTTTTCCTCAAGTTTGATTTTCTTGAAATATTTTGGCTCATCTGCAAGCATGCAGCTTTAAGCATCATTTCCTATTTTCTTGGCTGCCGATATATTATGTCCTTTATCCAGTATGCTTACTCATTTACTTAATTTCCTGCTGATGGTAATTTTTGCCCCTGTCTTCATCATTTCCCAAAATTAAAAAGCCTAACCCGGCTCGCAATCAATTTTCCAGTTTTTTGGCAATTGGGAGTAAAAAAACAAATGACACCATATTAGATAAAAAATTCATAAAAAACCCTAGATAAGTCAATGGGACAAAATAAGATCCAATTTATGGGGTTAAACATAAATAAAACATAACCTTATTAGTTAGAAATTGTTTTTGGGCGTTTCTAAATCAATTTTATAGCGTAGTTTGCAAAATGTATGGTGAGTGTGATAAAGGTATTTTTAAATTTTGTGTTTGTATCGGAAAATTATTACGCGTAAATATGCAATTTGCCTATAATATTCCCTTTTTTGGTATGATTTCATATGTTGTTTTAGTTTTGTAAGTAGAAAAGGGGTCATCCTTTTAAACACCCAAAAAGCTTTTCGTGCCTCTACAGTATTAAAAAAATACATGTAGGGAAACTTGGGAAAATTATAATTTTAAAAGCACATTTGACCCCGGAAAACAATAATTGAGCCTGTCACGACAAAACCCCCATGCGGGTTGCGCCCTGATGAATCCAACTAGCTGGATCTGCGGTCTTGCGCATCCGCCAGTTTGGATTCTGATCAGGACCAGGTGTTTCTTCACTTTTTCTACTTGTTATATGGTTTGTAAGGAAGATGGATCCGAAAAAGACTGCGCAAAAAGCCAGGCTGTCTGGATCCAAATGGTTCAAAACATATTGGTTTGTTATGATGCCCCAAAAAAACCCTTTTTTTTATTTTTTAAAGAAATGTAGTTTTTTTGTTTTTTTAAATGTTTTAATAAAGGATTAAAAAAGCTGTAAATGTTAACAACTAACAAAAAAACTGCTGAACATGCAGTTATCTGATGTTAAGGTAGCAAAATGTAGACAAAGTAGTATTGTGACTTCCATACAAAAGATTAATTCACTATAATTACATAGCAACAGAAGCAAAAATAATTTATCTTTTGGAAACTGTAACAAGATAAAAAAAAAAAAATAAGTTTTTGAGAGAAAAAAATGATAACATTTCTGAGGCATAATGTGCCTTTAAAGAAAACAAAGAGTTTTTGAAAGGAAATGTATAATAACAGATTTAAAATTCATGAAATGTTTTTGCAGGTTTTGTTTAATTGAAAATATGATTGAAGTTGAACTATAATTATTTGAACCACATTTTTACCCCATAACTTACAGAGTAATGGTGTCAACAAGTTGTATATCTTGACACTGATTTTAAACAAATTTTTCGGATTGTAATTGTTTTAAACAAGCTAAATCACTTAGCAACAGTTTCTATTTTTACTTTTTAATGAGGTTTTTTGACATGACAGGACTCTGGGACTGGATTTTTTTTTTCAAGATTAATGTTTCATTCTATGTAGGTCTAGACAAAATAACTGTTTATTATACATTTCTGATAATATCCACTCAGATTTTCAATTTACATGTATTTCTGAGTATATTTCTTAATATTTTTTAATTAGACTTTTGCATGAAAACTGTTATCTAAGTCTAAACAAGAGTCAAGCTGCCATATGTTATAATGGGGCATTAGTTCAGGATGATAATAAATGATAATTTAAGGAATAAGGGATCATAATAATTAGTAATTAGGGATCATCATCTTATAAATACTTAAAGTGACATTATGCTATTTTTTGTTGTCAAGTCGGCGACATGTGTATGTATTTAAAAAGATTGACTATAATAAGGGTCGATGACCAATAATTCATAATGAAGAATGTTTATCATAAAATATAACAACTGCTTTAAAGATATAAAAAAAAAAGACTGCCCCACTTATTTTAATATGAAGTGAACGATAAAGATACTTTCACAAGAATATTTAATTATTTATAGAATTTTCTGTGAATCATGTGGATTATTAGCTCGACTTTTTTTTTTTTGAAAAAAAAAGTAGAGGTCCATTTTTTACTAATGAACACAATTAGTGCACTTGTTGTACAGTATGTTAAGTGTTATACTTAACTGGTAAATTGATATCTCATGTTAACATAATGATTTTATAAATGTTTTTGATATGTTTAAGTGGTAAATTTAGACATTAAAATAAAACAAACAAATTTTTAATACTTGATAATATGTTGTTCATTATATCATAATTGGTTTAAGGGGATTTAAAGGTAAAATCAAATTTTAATTTATGATTAAATTTTTCATGAGATTTGTGTAAAAAAAAAAAAAAAAACTTTTATTGAAAAGTTTGTTAAAAAAATTTCTTTTTAAACTTTAAAAAAACTGTTTAATAATAAACTTGGACAAAGGGAATAAAACCCTTGCCCCTTTTTCAAAAAATTCAGGTTAAATTTTTTTACCCTGGCCCGAGGGGAAATCTCAAAATTGCCAAAATCACTAAAATTTTTTGGTTATTTTTCCAATAAAATTGATTTTAAAATCTGCAACTTCTCATATTGAGATAGATCAAATGCTTTTTCTTTTCACGTTACCTTATGAATTTTAATCTGGGTATTTTGCCCCAATCCAAAATTTTCTTGGGATAGGGGCTCCGCCCCCCTAGGGGGCTGTTAAAAACCCCCCCAAACAGAAAGGGGGGGCATAATTTTTGGCAACCCCCGATGTATTTTTGGGGGGGGCCCGCCAAAAAGAATACTTTTTTAAACAACTTTTTTCAAAACAAAAAAAGTTTTGGGGGCCAAATGGCATTTTTTTTACCATTTTAACAAAAATAAAGGGGGGGGTCTGAAAAGGCGTTAAAAGGCGTTAAAATATTACGTTTTAAAGGGTTAAGAAGATTTTTAACCCGGGTTTCAGAATTAAAAAAGAAAAATATTACCTGGATTTTTTTGGAAATTGTTATTAAATTTTTTACTGCATTTTGTGCATTAAAAAAAAATTTTTAGTTTCGATTAAAACATTTTACAGTTTAAAAACTAAATTGTTTCTTTGATGTAATTGAAGAGGAATAACTTAGTTGTCCCTTCTTGCATATGTTCCTTCATAAGCAGACACCGTAGTAAAATCAATGATCTTTAAGCTAATGCTGGATTGTTTTCTTACTTTAAATAAACCAAAAGCTCTGGCAGGAGTTGAACCAAAAGCTGTGAGAGTGTTTTAATCAGCAGCCAAAGCCACTCAGTCAAAGTGGTGCCCTTTTTCAAGATTTGATGTAGAAATTGTAGAAACAATTGTTTTCCACTTCTGCCAAGGACTATGGGAATATACTTATCATCATATATGATATGTATGATATATAACAGTAATATAAATACATATTTCTGTTATGCACGACTGAAGCTATAGTATATAGAATTTAATGAAACACACCCTCTCTAGATACTGATTAGTAAATAAATAATTCGGGATCATAATAATTAGGAGTAGGGGATCATATGGATTAATAATTAGGATCATCATCAAATTAATGCTTGAAGTGACATTATGTTCTTTTTTGTTGTCGAGTTGAGTTGAATTGGCTATCTATTTAAAAAAGATTGACTATAATAATGGTCATTGACACTGTTAAGTTATAGTATGTAGAATTTAATAAACTTTGTATTAATTAAAAACAAAGGTTCACTATTTTATATACTTTTCGACAGGATGGCGAAAGTGAAGACAACTCTTCTGCTGTGGGAGTTGTTACCAATGGCAACCGTGGCACTGACAGTTCCTCTGCACAAACAAACAAGTTGACCCCTGGCAAAGGTCGTATAAAAGGTCGTAAATCGAGGTCACAAAGGTCGCAGAGAAATGACTGGGAGATTGTGGAAGGATTGAGAGATGGACAAAGGTTTGAGAAAGTCCCAGAGAAATTTGAAGGCTATCTATCAAAGAGGAAAAGGTGGCCAATGAAGGGCTGGCATAAGGTTAGTGAGTGCAAGGAAATTGCAAAGCTACTTCCCTTTGAAAATTTAACTCTACATTTTGTATTTGTCTTCCAGGATTTCAAGGTTTTTCTATAAATACACTGTTTAGTTCTACGAGTGGCAGTAGTCATGAGTGAAATATGATAATTTTCATACCACAAGATGAAACTGAATCCTGTATTAATAGAAAAAAACTTGATTTTTCTGTTCCCTTTCAATTTTGTGTATTGGCTGAATTTAGAAAAAAAGTAGTCCGGCAAGAAACAAGTGCAAATATGAAAAATTTGTTTCACTGCAATGTAAAAATAAATTTTTACAGTGAAAAGATGAAAAAAATCAAACTACGCATTTCATTTCATCAACATTACTCAATATTTCATTTATAATTATACAATAAATACTTTCATTTATTTTACCTATACTTTTCTGAGCCGTAGTAATACCAGTATCATTATAATTATATATTATTTATTCTTTAAGGAAGATAAGATATTTTTTTGTTAATTATATATAACGTGACAAATAAGCTCAAAGACAACATGCGATGTTTTAAAGAAAAAACGGAACAATCAATACCATAATACCTTTCTCAAGAGTGAAATATGATTCTTTCTTGATGAGAAATTTAATTAATATCCTCAAAACATGAGACTATAAAAACGTCAAAGAATATTACAGTCTGCTTTGTGAAAAAAATATGCAGTAAAACCTTGACAATGTCAAGATGCGGCTCTTTTCTACCACTTTCTGCGATTTTAGCTTGACTATTCAAAGAATAGGGAGAGCTTTTGTACTCACTAGGTGTCGGTGTTGCCATGTGACTGTCACAAATTGTTTCAGTTTTTGCATGCAAGTTGGTACCTCTAAAAGTACTGAAGAACTTGGTTGAAACTCCACACACTTGTGAGAATATTAGGTCTCTATCCAAGGTCCATGACTCTAACATAGATTTTGACAGAATTATGGCCTTTTTTTATTGAACTTAGAAAATTCTTACTGTCAAACCCTGAGAATTATGAGTTAGGCATGCTGTCCTGCCAACAGCTCTTGGTTAAAAGAAGTAAATATTGATGTATTTTGATACATAATGTGCCTTTAAGGATTTGTATAATTATTCAAATCGCCATGTTACACCCATGATTATAATGTTGTTAGAAAAATGGTAAAATCAGGTGGTATGACAAAGATCCTATTTAACTCATTGAAGATAATGATGATAAATAGATATATAAACATTTATTTCATACCAAATAAGATAAAACCAATGCACTTTCACCATTTCCACCATGTGATATTCAGTTAAAATCATTATTGGATCCAATCTTATCAATTTAGCCTCATTTTCATTTTCAGAGTCCAAAATTTTCATATCAAATCCATATCACACCCCATCAGCTTCGTTTTCATTTCAAGTGTCTAAAACGTTCATATTAAATCCATAAAGCTCTTAATCTAGCTCGTTTTCATTTTTTGAGAGTCCAAAATCCATATCAAATCCTTGTTGTTAATGAAGTAAGAAAGTTCTGTCAAAATGTCATAAAATGGTGGTATGAAAATAAAAATGTCATTAAACTTGGTAGACAACAATACTATTCTATTGGACTCTTACACAGCTGCAAAACCTATATCAGATCTGGCTAGCGCCTCGTCCAATTTAGTTTTGACAGCTGTTTACTCATCCAATCGAATTCAGTATTGTACTTAACAATTATATTAACCCTTTCGCTGCCAGAGGGTTATTGTTTTTTTGTTCACCTATTTTCCAGAGGGTTTTCTAAGAAATTACTATATTATTAATTAATATAATTATTATTATTTGTTATTAGTATTATAATAATTATATATGTTTCCAAATCTGTTAGTATTATAATAATTATTGTCTATGGTATAATTTTCTTTATATTTATTATTATTTTTATTATTATTATTATTAATTTATTATTATTACTATTATTATTATACAAATGGCTAAAGCCGTCCATATGGCAAATACGCCGAAAATAATAGGGTCGGCTTAAGCGGTCCCTATGGCAGTGAAAGGGTTAATAACTTCATAATATATAACATTAAGAAAAATGTGCTACACTTATAATGAGAAATATAAAACATAAGAAAATTATAAAAACAAACCTATGAATTTACTTTAACCTCTACTAGTTACATCAAAAGGATCTTGAAATAATTACCATGGAAACGTTTTTTACATTTGTACTATATTTTATGTATTTCAGAGATATTTCATGTTGGAGAAGGGAATATTGTACTATGGGAAATCACCCAGTGACGTAAGTATATGTAAAAACTGTTTATTCTTGTATCTGAATACAGTGCTTGTTAAATGGTTAATTATCAAGTGACACATAAATTTTCTTCTCTGACAAAAATACAATAACCAAAGAAGCAAATATAATTATATGACTTTGGACAAAGTTATTATCAGGCATTGTTATATATTCTAAATAAACATGTTTCCCTGATATATGTAAGTTACTGAGAATATTGTTTTACCAAAGTTCTATAGATGTCAGTTTGTAAAATGAATGTGCCAAAAGTTCAGTTTACATCAAGGGAAAAGTGTTTCCAATAATAAGTGATGTCATGGCAATTTAAAATTGTTTAGTTTTACTCTTTTGGCCATGTTCACAACATTACAGGTAACAGTATCTGTTTGTCGATTTCAACAAAGGACACTTCACACTGCTGACTCAGCATTTACAATGTCTTCCTGGAATTATTTGAGCCCTGTCATGACAAAACCAACGTAATGCGTTTGCGACCAGCATGGATCCAGACCAGCCTGCGCATCCATGCAGTCTGATCAGAATCCATGATGTTCGCTATCAGTTTTTATCCCCCGCCGATGGAATCGGGAGGGGGATATAGTTTTGGCGTTGTCCGTCCGTCCTTCCGTCCGTCCGTCCATCCGTCCGTCCGAATTTCGTTTCCGGAGTAGTTCTCTGCAACTAATGGCTGGAATTCAACGAAACTTTATGGGAATGTTGATGAGCATGTGAAGTTGTGCACCTGGGTATTTTCGTCTGGATATTTTTAGTATTTTTAGAGTTATTGCCCTTGACTTAGTAAAACGTCCGAATTTCGTTTCCGGAGTAGTTCTCTGCAACTAATGGCTGGAATTCAACGAAACTTTATGGGAATGTTCATCAGCATGTGAAGTTGTGCACCTGGGTATTTTCTTCTGGATATTTTTAGTATTTTTAGAGTTATTGCCCTTGACTTAGTAAAATTTTGTAATTTTCAACTTGTGTCGCATGTAACTCAAAAGTATTTGACCTAGAGTCATGAAACTTTACAGGAATGTTGATCAGTATGTGTAGTTGTGTACCTGGGTATTTTCATCTGGATATTTTTAGCATTTTTAGAGTTATTGCCCTTGACTTAGTAAAATTTTGTAATTTTCAACTTGTGTCGCATGTAACTCAAAAAGTGTTTGACCTAGAGTCATGAAACTTTACAGGAATGTTGATCAGTATGTGTAGTTGTGCACCTGGGTATTTTCGTCCGGATATTTTTACTATTTTTAGAGTTATTGCCCTTGACTTAGTAAAATTTTGCAATTTTCAACTTGTGTCACATGTAACTCAAAAAGTATTTGACCTAAAGTCATGATACTTTACAGGAATGTTGATCAGCATGTGTAGTTGTGCACCTGGGTATTTTCGTCTGGATTTATTTAGTATTTTTAGAGTTATTGCCCTTGACTTAGAAAATGTTTGCAATTTTCAACATGTGTCGCATGTAACTCAAAAAGGATTTGACATAGAGTCATTTAACCTTATTGGAAAGTTGCTCAGCATATTTAGTTTGTTCCTGGGGTTTCGCTTGTGGATTTATCCAGTATTTGTAGAGTTATTTCCCTTGACTTAGTAAAAACTGTTTCATTATGTTGTTATTTGATCCTTGAGTGCTTGAGTTAGAATCAACCAACTTTACAGGAATAATGATCAACATCACTAAATTATGAATAATGAAGTCTGGAGATTAAGATGTTTTTACATCTAGATGAGCTATTGTGATCCCCCACCGTCCGTCGTCATGCGTCGTCAGCAATTTCTTTAAACAACATCTCCTCAGAAACAAATGACTGCACAGCAACCAAACTTTACAGGAATGATCCTAGGGTGGTCCCCTGCCAAAGTTGATCAAATGGTTCTGGTCTGTTGCATAGCCTTATGTCTTCAGTTGTTGTGTTAATAATAACCAGTACTCGGCGGGGGATATAAATTCAACGAATTTGCTTGTTCTATCTGTTATAGAGTATGTAATCGAACAGCATGGATCCTGATCAGACTGCGCGGATGCGCAGGCTGGTCTGGATCCATGCTGGTCGCAAACCCATTATGTTGGTTTTGTCATGACGCGGCTCATTTTACTTTATCAGGAATTTATTCATGTGCTGCTTGGCTTTAAAGGAACTCCAATGAGTTTAAAATCCTAAAAATATAGAAATTTGAAATTTGACATAGATAGAGTGAAACACTAAAAATGGAAAAAAAATCTACAAAGAATGGTGATGAAATTTACTCAGAATTCAATTGAATATTATTTTTTTTTGTGTGCCATTATCAGCCTAATTTTAGTTGCAACATTTTCCATTTTTTAGTCAGTCTACAAAATAAAAATGATTATTCTGGAAAAAAAAAGGGGGGGGGGGAGAAATGATCTTAAAATTTGCTAACAAGTTATTGGTCCAAACCTACATCAAATGGAAGACAACTATCATAAAAATATTTATAGATTAATATAAACAGCAATTTTGTACAGAGATACAAAAACTGCCAGTTTCTTTAATGACAAAAAAGTATAAATACTGAATTTACCAATAGTTATATTATACTTAACAAATGCAACATATCTTCTTTGTGTGTGCTCAAAACATGTTTATTTTATATTTAAAAAAAAGACTGTATAGCAATTATCCTATCCAAATATCAAATTTGAGCATGATGTATCTTTTAATTGTTATGTTATTATCTGTTTTCATTGTTTCGGAGTAATCACCCCTTTTCTAGATATTAACCTCTTCAGTTGTTTTCTTGTATTTCAGATTCAGAAGGGGAAATACCATGGTGTGATAGATATAGGACTCTCTGTGCTAGCCTTCAAACGTTACAGACACAGAATCGATATTGATGCCGAGGAACTTGTCTATCATATAAAGGTACAGTTATATGAATTTATACCGCCTCCGTGGTCGAGGGGTTAGAGTCGATGACTTCTAATCAAGTTACCTCTCTGGCTTGAGTTCGATCCCCGAGAGTTGCTTTGGTAGTTTAGCACGGAGGAAGGTACTCTAGTACTGGTGTAACTCTCCAGGAACGATGGTTAGGAAACTACCCGCCTGTATGACTGAAATACTGTTGGGAAAAGGCGTAATAAACAAACAAACAAACAAATATGCATTTATATTTCGTTATGATGATTTATATCCACCTTAAAATGTATAAAGCAATGTATTTTACACCTTATGAAATATAAGCACTGAACTTTCAGCGTTTGGACCACATGATGTTCCATTGAAAAAAAACATCCTATTAGGATTTATTGTATCAGTTTAGCCTCGTTTCAATTTACAGAGTCCAAAGAATCCATATCAAAGGCATATCACACCCCCATATAGCCTCGTTTTCATTTTCAGAGTCTAAAATATCTCTATCAAATACAAATGGTACTCCATCTAGCCTCATTTCCATTTTCATGGTCCGAAATTTAGTTCAATTCCATTGTACTTGAAGTAACAAAGTTCAGTCAAAATGTCAAAAAATGTGAACTGAAGAGGTCATTATACATTGCTGGAACAATATTGATTCTATTGGCCTCGTACACAGCTGCATAATTTATATCGGACTTGGCTATTGCCTAGTCCAATATAGGTTTGACAGCTGTGAAATAGAATTCAGTATTGGACTCAACAATGTGTAGTAATCTCATAATATTGGCTACATGTAGTTTACAAAATTATTACATCCAAAATCCCTTTTGAAATAAATATTTCCTTTTGAGTTAATTGTGCACATTCCACATTAGTCATTCCTAAGCGAATAGAGCCTGACTTAAAATAACAGCAAACATAATATTCTGGTCCTGAACATTTTGTTCTGTTTACGTACAATATTCATGTGTATTAAATAACAGGCAATTTATGTTATATCTTTTTTTGTGAATAGAGAATCAATTGTGACATTATGGAAACAACATAAATTGCATAATAATATTTCATTTGATATAGCATTATTCTGTTTAAGTACAGATACTGGCATTTGCTTTTGATGAAAATTTAGATATTGTATAAGATTTATAATATATATTCTATTTCTTAAAATTAACAGTCAACAATGTTGTTGTGTTTTTAACAGATAAAGAGGCAAGTGTTTGAGGATTGGTTGACACGGTTACGGAACCATCGTTTATACAGGCAACATGAAATCGCGTATGGTACGAAAGAATCTCCGAAACTTACTGAAATCTCTGCACCTATGCAAGCTATGGAAAATTTATCCACCTTGACTGCAAGTATGTCCAACCTTTTTTATTAAAATTCTTCAGATGATTTTAATACTATATATATATTGAATGAGTGTAGGTTTAATACTAAATTTTTTGAATAATTTGAATAAAATTTACATTATGCGAGCCTGTGGTGAGCATAATATTGCTTCAATATTACTCAACGTTTTCAATATTTATAATGTTAAAGCTTCAGGATTGTAATATTCTTTTTATCACAAATTCAAAATAAAAATGGTTAACAGTTAAAACGAATAATTTTTCATTAGCGCGCCTATAGTGTAATGCTAACATTAGCATGTTTTACTATGTTTGTATATATTGTATTTGATGTCAAATCAATGTGTTATTACACTAGTGTAATACTGTTCTTATAAAATGGCTTTATTACACTCCTGCAGCATAGTTTATGTGATAAAAAGATTTATTTGATAATTGAAATTCTTTGTACCTGAGTTAAATGTTAAACTTTAAAAATGGCAAGAAAATTTTAAGCAAACTGTTCTAATTGTTACAGATATGAGCCTCGCTGAGAAAGCTCGTGATAGTTCGTTACATAGAGAGCTTTCACGACACCCTAGCTTGAAAGGTCAAGACCGGGTAGCGACCTGGTTGTTGGACACACAGGGATTTGAACATTGCAATAAAGGTATGAATTGTTTCTGGTGTTAACAAAATTTCGCTCATTTGTGATTGTGAAAGAAGTTCTCGCAACTTATATAAATCGCTTTCAAGTGTTGGAAGTAACTTGTTAAAGTTGGGACATTTCAAATTCATGAATTCCCAATTTCATCTTCATGAATTCATAATTTTAACTTTACAAATTCATGATTTCAACTTCATTAATTCACAATTTCATAAAGTTGAAATCGTTAAATCATGAAGTTGAAATCTTGAATTTGTTAATTTCAAATTGTGTAGTTGAAATCGTGCATTCATGAAGTTGCAACGGTGAATTCCTGATGCTGAGATCGTGTAATTGAATTTTTTTTTTTTGTGAATTCATGTAGTTGAAATTGTGAATTCATGAAGTTGAAATTGTGAATTCATGAAGTTGAAATTGCGAATTCATGAAGTTGAAGTCATGAATTCATGAAGCTGAGATTGTGAATTTGTGAATTCCATATGTTGAAAATGTAAATTCATGAAGTTAAAAGTGTGAAATCATGAAGATGAAATCGGGATTCACAAAGTTGAAATGTCTCCACAGGTCTTTCGTACATATGCCTTTATTGCTATAATTATACTAATGTTAACATTTCCAGCACTTGCCCAGGCACAGAGTTTGTTGTACGAGCTACATAAAGACATGGAGGAAATCAGGGAGTTACCCTTCAATACAGAAAACGCAGTATTTGATGTAAGTAGTACATATGTGATTTGAGAACACATGGTTTCAGCCAGTTGTTTTTACTTTGAGTGAAAAGTTCGAAGATATGTTTTTTATTGTTTCTGTAATGTGAGAGTTCTGTCAGTAAAGGAATGTTGATGCGTTTTTAGCTCACCTGTCACAAAGTGACAGGGTGAGCTTTTGTGATCGCTTTTCGTCCGGTGTCCATCCGTCGTCCGTCCAGCCGTAAAGTTTAACTTTAAATGAATCTCCTCATAAACCACTAAGCCAATTTCATCCAAACTTCACAGGAATGTTCCTTTGGTGGTCACCTTTAAAAATTGTTCAAGGAATTTAATTCCATGCAGAACTGGTTGCCATGGCAACCGATAGAATAAACTTAAAATATCTTCTTTAAAAAAAACCAGAGAGGTAGAGCTTAGATATTTGGCATGAAACATCTTCTAGTGAGTGACTATCAAGTTTGTTCAAATAAAAGCCCTGGGGTCAAAATTGGCCCCGCCCCAGGGGGTCATTGATTTTCCCTATATGCATATAGAAAAAACTTTAAAAATCTTCTTTTAAAGAACCCAAAGAGCTAGAGCTAAGATATGTAGCATGAAACATCTTCTAATGGATGTCTACCAAGTTTGTTCAAATAAGAGCCCTGGGGTCAAAATTTGCCCCGCCCGGGGGTTCATTGATTTTCCTTATATGTGTAAAGCAAAAACTTTAAAAATCTTCTTTGAAAAAACCCAAATAGCTAGAGTTTAGATACTAAGCATGAAACGTCTTCTAATGGGTGTCTACCAAGTTTGTTCAAATAAAAGCACTGGGGTCAAAACTGGCCCCGCTCTGGGGGTCTATATACAGGTGAGCGACTTCAGGGCCATCATGGCCCTCTTGTTTAGGAAAACTTGAATAATTATGTATAAATTGACATAGGCTGAGAATTAAGTGAGATTAACTGGCCATGAAAGTAAAAGGTCTTTGAAATAGAAATTTTTATAATTCTTGTCATTTTATTTTTCTTTAAGAATTTCATGCAGTAGTATCTTAAAATTGTCTTTGCCTTTGATTTTAAATTGTCCATTACACCAAACTTTCAATAAATCTTATTAAATACATTAATTGACTAATTGTTGTTTATTGCCTTGTGGTCAGATTATTGTGAAAAATAACTATGAACAAGAACAAAATAATCATACATTTCATTACAGTTACAATACGTTTATGCACATGGTGCTGGAATTTAGTATATTTAAATGTACAACAACTAATTACGCTGCATTATCTTCATTATCATATATCATAGACAAGTTCAGTTAAAATGCCATCAGCTAGAAAATACACAGATATCTGCAGTATTTAGAGCTGTGAATATCAGATCTGCAGTTATGAATATCAGATTATCTGCAGTTATGAATATCAGAATATGATATCCCAGCTATGAATATCAGATAGCCCAGCTATGAATATCAGATGTTCAAGCTCATATATCAGATATTCCTGCTAGAATATCATCAGCTATGAATATCCTCAACTCTAAATATCAGATATTCCAGCAGAAATATCTTCAGCTTTTTTAATCTTCAGCTGTAAATATATAAATATCTTCAGCAAGAATATTCTCAGCTATGAATGAATAATAGTCTAGTAATAAACCTTAACCCAGTTACATGGCTTGTGTATTATTGCATGCTTATATAGAAATGCTAGTTAAATATTGCCAAGTTAGAATTAGAAATTTCTTCTGGTGGTATTGATAGTTACAAAGTTTTTTTGTTAATTGAACTGTTCTGAAGAAAATAATGAAAACAGTTATTCAAATAGATTGTAATGACCTTGAAAGAAGCAAGTATTCAAGTGAATAAACCATAATTCTTTAAACTAAATTTTACTGTGCCTGGTAATGTACACATTAAATTATATTCTGATTTCTAAACAAATTTAAAATATTTAAAATTTAAAAATTTTGGCTAATGCCCTACTTAAATTGTGATATTTTTTTTTGTCTAATTTGAAATGGACTTAAATTAATGATATTAAATCAGGGCATAATGTATTCAAGGCACAATCCTTTCATCATTTCTTGCTTTTCAAAATTTCAACATTTCTTTGGAGTGTGAATACTATATAAAGTCTTAAAGAGATGATACTTGAATTGTCAGTTTTCCTGGAAAAAAAAACACCAACAAAAACTCAACATTGTTAGTTAATCATTGTCAAAGTTTGAAAACTTAATGCATGCATGCTCTGAAGCTTCTCTTTTTAAACCAAAATAAATCTTTTTGAACCATAATTTATTTTTTTGGGACCGTAATTTTTGTTTTTTGATGTTCTCATACCCTTGACTTTTAGGAGTGGTTTTTATTCATGTTTGTTTACATTTGAGATGTTGATTTTAACAAATGTTCATCTTTGTTACTACCATGAGGCTCTCAGGTTTTATGATCAGAGTTTTAAAACCAGTCTAGAAAAACACACTTCTAAAAATAGCAGCCAATAATATTAAATTTTACATTTGTATTTTGACTGGTCTAGTTTTATGTGCTTTACCATTGGTTGATTCAAAATTTACCAAAAATAGCAGCCAATCAAATTTATTTTGTGATTGGACTGGTCTAGATTTATTTAAGTAAAAATTTACATATTTGAATGGGTTTAAAACTATCATATGTATCTTCATCTAAATGCATGCGAAAAAATATGATAATTATTTAAACCCTATCTATATCCTTGGAAAGCAATTGGTCATAATGCCAATGTTAGATTTTGGACTGGTTTTCAAATTTTGTGTTATGACCTTTGACATTTGTTGTGATATTTCTCCTGTTCTGAATGTTTCTAGCTCAATGATAGCGATACAAATGACAAAAAGAAAAACCGGAGTTTTGGAGGTAGAGTGATGAAGAGGAGAGATCATAAAAGGAATGCCAGTCTGCAGGAATCTGAAACCATTGCTAGTGGTAATAAACAGGTAAATGTGGGGTCTGAGTGCAGGTCTTAAAGTATATCTGACTCAAAAGCAGTTGAATGTTAGATATCAAAGATAAGTCTAAAAATAAAACGATAAAGTAAATATGAGTATGGAATACAGGACTGTGATCAGATTTACTTGAAAGAAAAAGGTAAACAGTTTAACAGAAACACCATAAAAAATAAATACACACTTTCAAAGAAACAAAAGAAACATCATTACAGGTAAAAAACTTGCAAAGAACACCATAAAGAACAGGTAAATGTTTGAATCACACGACATGTAAAAAAGAGGGAAATGCTTGCAAAATAACACCATAAAGAATTGGTAAATACTTGCAAAGAAACAACATAAAGAACAGGTAAATGCTTGCAAAGAAACACCATAAAGAACAGGTAAATGCTTGCAAAGAAACACCATAAAGAATGGGTAAATGCTTGCATAGAAACACCATAAAGAACAGGTTAATGCTTGCAAAGAAACACCATAAAGGATGGATTAATGCTTGCAAAGAAACACCATAAAGAATCAGTAAATGCTTGAAAAGAAACACCATAAATAATGAGTAAATGCTTGCAAATAAACACCATAAAGAACAGGTAAATGCTTGCAAAGAAACCCCATAAAGAATGGGTTAATGCTTGCAAAGAAACATTATTAAAGAATGAAGAAACTTGTGACAGGTAAATGCATGCAAAAAAACACCATAAAATGGATTTAAATGCTTGCAAAGAAACTTCATAAAGAATCAGTAAATGCTTGAAAAGAAACACCATAAAGAATGGGTAAATGCTTGCAAAGAAACTTGTGACAGGTAAATGCTTGCAAAGAAACACCATAAAGAATGGGCAAATGCTTGAAAAGAAACACCATAAAGAATTGGTAAATGCTTGCAAAGGAACACCATAAAGAATCTGTAAATGCTTGAAAAGAAACACCATAAAGAATCAGTAAATGCTTGAAAAGAAACTTGTGACAGGTAAATGCTTGCAAAGAACACCATAAAGGACAGGTAAATGCTTGCAAAGAATTACCATAAAGAACAGGTTAATGTTTGCAAAGAAATATTTTTAAAGATCAGTTAAATTCTTGCAAAGAAGCACATTTAAATGAAGGGTATAGTCTTGCAAAGAAATATCTCAAAAACAGGTAAATGCTTTCCTGCTGAATATGTAGGATTGAAATTGTCTGTTGCTTATAGGAAGGATTTCATTGTCAAAACAATAAATTTAAGGCTCAAAGTGCATTGTCGTGCAGACTGGCATGGCTGTTTACTACTAGGATAGACAAGACATTTAAATTGCCAGCATTCAAAAAGACAAATTGTAGCTGATTGTTACTTTCTTCATGATCATTCAACAGGGGTGTAAGTTTGTTTTTTTTTATCAAAAATGAGAAAACTGCTCATAGGCTTGGAGTAAATTTTTTATATCATTCCAATTTAGAAATTTAAAAAAAAATATGCAAAATATAGTTAGCAGTTGTAATAAATAAATATGCTAGGAAAATACAGCTTGAATGAAACAGGTAAGTGAAAATAAATACTGATGTTCAAAGACTTATAAAAAAAGAGTAGTTTCTTGGTATAATATCAAATACCTATCATTTGTAGATTTGTAGATTGGTAGTTTTGTGTTTCATTTATCAAACATACAATATCTGTTACACATTAGAGGTGTCTAGTATAACTTATTTCTATGTTCATTTATTTATTTTCTATTTGACAATTTTGTTTTTGTTTTAAAGCTTTAAATTCTCATTCTGCAATTGTTTAAGCTTTACATTTCATTTTCCTTCTATAAACTTTTTAGCTCACCTGTCAACTTTTGTGATGGCTTTTCGTCCGGCATCCATCCGTAAACTTTTACTTGTAACAACATCTCCTCATAAACCCCTAAGCCAATTTCATCCAAACTTCACAGGAATGTTCCTTTGGTAGTCAACTTTAAAAACTGTTCAAAGAATTTAATTCCAAGCAGAACTCTGGTTGACATGGCAACCAAAAGAAAAAACTTAAAATATCTTCTTTTAGAAAACCGAAAAAGCTAGAGCTTAAATATTTGACATGGAACATCATCTAGTCAGTGTCTACCAAGTTTGTTCAAATAAAAGCCCTTGGGTAAAAATTGGCCCCACCCCAGGGGGTGGGGAAAAACTTAAAAAAACATTTTTTAAAAACCAAAATAGCTAGAGCTTAGATACAAATCATGAAACATCTTCTAGTGAGTGTCTACCAAATTTTTTCAAATAAAAGCCCTGGGGTAAAATTGGCCCTGCTCCAGGGGGTCATTGTTTTTCCCTTTATGTATATAGTAAAAACTTTAAAAATCTTCTTTTAAAAACCCCAAAGAGCTAGAGCTTAGATATTTAGCATGAAGCATCTTCTTATGGGTGTCTACCAAGTTTGATCAAATAAGGGCCCTTTGGTTAAAATTGGCCCCACCCCAGGGGTCATTGATTTTCCTTATATGTGTATAGTAAAAACTTTAAAAAAATTCTTATAAAAAACCCAAAGAGCTGGAGTTGAGATACTAAGCATGAAATATCTTCTAGTGAGTGTCTACCAAGTTTGTTCAAATAAAAGCCCTTTGGTCAAAATTGGTCCATCCCAGGTGGGGGGGGGTCATTGTTTTTCCCTATATGTATATAGTAAAAACTTAAAAATCTTCTTTAAAAAACCCTAAAGAGCTAGAGCTTAGATATTTATCATAAAACATCTTCTAATGAGTGTCTACCAAGTTTGTTCAATTAAAAGCTCCAGTGGTTTAAAATTGACCTTGGGCCAGGGGCCTATATACAGGCGAGCGATTTCAGGGCCATCATGGTGTTTCATTTACACCATTCTTTACATTTTTCTTTCTTGAAACTAATTTGTTTTACAGCTCTATATTTTCTTTTTTAAGGTTTTACAGCTTTACATTTTGTTTTGAAACTTGTTTGTCTTTTCAGTATTTTCCTTATTTCTATTAACTTGTTATTAATTTATTTTACAGCCTTTCATTTTCTTTCCATTAAATAACTTGATTTACAGCTCTACATTTCCTTTCTATTAACTTTCTTATTTTACAGCTTTTTATTTTCTGTCCATTAAATTACTTGTTTTTCAGCTTTACATTTTCTTTCTTTATACTTACTTGTTTTGCAGCTTAAACTTATTTGTTTTCTTTACATTTTCTTTCTATCAACTTATTTTACAGCTTTATATTTTCTTTCAATTTACTTTTTTATTTTATAGCTCTACATTTTCTTTCTAAAAACTTATTATTTTGTTACAGCATAACATTTTCTTTCTATAAACTAATTTGTTTTACAGCTTTACATTTTCTATCTAAATACATTGATTGATTTTGTTTTTATATCTTTATGTTCTCTGTCTATGAATTTTCATTAGATATATATGTTTTTCATCCACTTTCATTTCTATAGTGAATATTTCCTGTGTCTACATACAACACAAAACTAGACTCACAATCTTCTCCTCTTAGATCTAGAAGCCTTATACTTATAGATAGTCATATCCTTATTATTGTTTAAGTATTTTTTTGTTTTTAATTATTACATGTATTTATTTTGTCTATTGATTATCATAGATTGTACAATAGAGTAGCAATGATCACACATTTCTTAACCTAAAACCAGCTTTATTTCTCAAATGGACTTGTCCAACTTTAATTTTTGGAACTGTCCATTATCAGTTTTAGGGATATCAAGATTAATCAGCCAGCAGTTCAGGTCCTGGTCAGACTGCAAGGATGTGCAGGTTGGCCTGGCTCTATACTGGTGGCAAAGGCTTGATTCCTTTTGTTTTAATCAGGTGAAGGGTTTAAGAATTTTCTGCTATCCAAAAAAAATCTTGTATATATTTCTTGCTCCTGGAACATATGGTGTATATTTAACACACATATATGGTGTATATTCATTTTAATGGTAGTTTTTGCGTTTTGTTATTAGTTTCTGATGGTGTTACTTAATGACGCCAGTACCAGTTAGATTATAAACAATAATAAGGCTGACACTACAGTAGTTCAAATATGTGTCAAGCTGTCTTCAAGATCTAGCTATTAAATTGATAAAGTGTAAAATTTAGGCTAATAACTACATTTAAGCATTATAAAGCATAGAAAAAACAATTATAAAACAGAATTGGCTTAGTGCTGCTTAAATATATTCATCACTATACATAATTATATTATAATTATGTATCAACTATATTATAGTATATTATATATACAGGTACTTTGCTTTTGCTTTATTTATATTATACATGTATATTCAATATATTGAAGAAAAAAATAGTCTAAGACCAGATAAATATGCCAAATAAAAAGAAAAACTTTGTGTGTGTTTTGTTCTACTATGAAAACCAGATATTAGACCGCCAAAATTAAAATTGATATGAGCCGCGTCACGACAAAACCAACATAATGCGTTTGCATCCGCGCAGTCTGATCAGGATCCATGCTGTTCGCTTACAAACCCTATAACAAGTAGTGAAACTGATAGCGGACAGCATGGATCCTGATCAGACTGAACGGATGCGCTGGCTGGTCTGGATCCATGCTGGTCGCAAACCCATTATGTTGGTTTTGTCATGACGCGGCTCAAATATGTTATAGAAGACATTTGATTATCAGATTTTTATTTGTTCACGGTTTCAGATAAGTTCTCAGCCAGCGACCCCTCAAATCTGTACGACACCTCCAAGTTTTAAGATCGCCAAGGATCAGTTACGCTCCAGCGCATCGAACCCGAACCTCCATGTAGAAGATCGTCCACGCCCATCTAGTGCCCCGATGCAGTTGTCACCACAGCACGCTGCAAGAATTGAAGAGATCAAATTACGAGACAGTTTTATGTCCAAAGCAGAGCAGAGTAAGAAAATTGTTTCAAGTTAATTTTTTGCAAATTGTTTCCTGAACTTCAACTGGCATGGTCCTAAAGTGCCCCTTTACAAAAGTTACATGTATATAATTCCAGGGCACACCTACCTTCATAACTATGAGTACAACTGCATCAAGGAATCAATCCTCTAGCTCAATAGGCTAGAGCATTATTACATTTGCTAGTATTATTAGCGGGATGTTTTAAGTTCAAATCCCAGCCACAGCGCGATGTTTTCTAATGCATTTGGCATTTACAGCTTTTTGTTACATTCAAAAAATGATTTTAGGATAGGTGATCGTCAAAGAAATCTGGCTCCTTGAATTCATTTGAAAACCAAAATGGTTTTCTGATTTATAACAGAAATGGTTTCAGACTTGAAAATAAGTCTGTCTGTCATCATAAATGATGACTTTTGCAAGAGGCGGGGTGTGGGGGTGTTACGGTTGAGTGCACATCTACCTTCATTTCTATAAGTACAACCTCTGACATTTTTGTCAGGGGATGGATTCTTTGGCTCAGAGGTCTAGAATGCTGTTTAACTGTCACTTGTAAGTGGGATGTAGTGAGATTGAATACCCGCCATGGTGAGATCTTTTGTGATGCATTGGCATCTATCAGTTATGAACTTAAAAATGTTTGTAAGAATATCTCACAACTACTTGTTGATACAATACTTTTCTCCTTTAAAGTAATTCCATAACCAACTTTAGTAAGCTGCAATGACCTGGCAGGAAATCAGTGATAAAAAAAATTGTGGAAATATTTGATTTTTAAATAGCGTGGATTTAAAATCTAAATGCCAAGTTTTACAAGAACTTTAGATATTCACATGTATTTATTTCCAGTGCATGACACATTACGAATGTTATTACACTCCATGGCAACTGAGCGTGACCGTCTGAAGCAGACAGTTGATATGGACAACACTCCCGTGGCAACAGGCTCGGCACTGGGGTCTTCCCATTCTGGTGCAGCAGTAACTTCATTAAAACAGACACTGGCAGAGGTATAAACACTGATATTTTAAATCTTTCAAAGAAGTGCATTTTTCAACAAAAAGCATTTCACATTGTTTTTATACGCTCATTTTAATTGTAAAATTTGTATGAAAGGGTAATACTGTAAAAACAATTTAGCATCTACAGTTACGTTTTCAACTTGCATCTAATAAGTCATAATACATGTATATCATAATATATTTTCTTTACCGCCTCCGTGGTCGAGGGGTTAGAGTCAATGACTTCTAATCCACTTACCTCTCTGGCGTGGGTTCGTTTCCAGGGAGATGCTTTGGTAGTTTAGCGCCAAGGAAAGTAGTCTAGTACTGTTGTAACTCTCCAAGAACGATGGTTAGGAAACTACCCGCCTATATGACTGAAATACTGTTGGGAAAAGCCGTAAAATGAAACAAACAAACAAAAATATATTTTCTTTAATTTGAAAAGATGAAAAATAGTTCAATTCCTTTATTCATCTAAATGTTTTAACTCCACTTTTCGAAGTAAAAAGGTGGAGCTATTGTCATGAGCCTCTTGTTGGCATTGACATCCACTTTGGTTTACCTTTTGTTTTAAGGTCCATGTTCTCAGAAACTATATATAATAAAAGCTATTCACTTCAAACTTTGTATCCATGTCATAAAAGGACGCCATTCCAAAGGGCAGATAATCCAAAAGAAATTTTTGAAAGATGATGTCCCTTTTATATCTTGCTTTTATTATATCCCGCCGATGGAACCTTAAAGGGGACATTGTTTTGGTGGTGTCAGTCCATCCAAATTTCGTTTTAGTGCTAGTTCTCTACAACTACTGGCTGGAATTCAACGAAACTTTATGGGAACATCAATTCCAAAAGGAGATGCGCATATTGTTGCCTTGTTCTGGTCAGACACTAACTCAGAGTTATGGCCCTTGATTAATTATGCAGTATGCATATAGAGCAATAATCATTCTGCGCTACTTCTCTGCAACTATTGGCTGGAATTCAACAAAACTTCATGGGAGTCATCAATATATAAAGAGGAGATGTTCATATCGTCGGCTTATTCCGGTCAGACACTTTAACTCAGAGTTATGACCCTTGATTAGTTATGCAGTATGCATATAGAGCAATAAATGTTTTTGCACTACTTGTGTGCAACTACACTGGCTGGAATTCAATTAAACTTTATGGGAACCATTAATACAAAAAGGAGATGTGCATAATTTGTTTCCTAGTTCAGACCAGACCCTTCATTACAGAGTTAATGGCCCTTGATTTGTTATATAGTATGCATATATAGCAATATTGCTATTTCTTTGCAACTGCTGTATTGATTTCAACAAAACTTTATGGGAACCATCCATACAAAAAGGCAATTTACATGCCATTGGCATATCCAGATATTACTATTGAACACAGAGTTATGGCTCTGTTATTGCCCTGAATGTTTATCATGAACAAAGAATATTACTGTTTACGCCATGATAAATATATAAACAAAGCCTTATGTCTTCAGTTGTTGTATTAGTAATAACCAGTACTCGGCAGGGGATATAAATGCAAAGAATTTGCTTGTTAAACTATACAGGACAGAGAAAATTAGGATGACACATAATGTTGTTTTAAATACACATTATGCTTTAGAAACAAATAGATACTTGTCACCTGCAGAAAGTAGACAAAGTACTAAATGTGAAATTGTTTGTCAAAAAATTGGCAAAATGTAAACAAAGCAGTATTTTTACTTCCGTACAAAATACTAATTCACTATAACTGTGCTAAGCTTAAAAACAACACATGAAAATTATGTTTCAGGTTATTGGCCAATGAGTAGGTTTTTAGCTCACCTGACCACGAAGTGGTCAAGGTGAGATATAGTGATGGGGCTATGTCCAGCCTCTGTCTGTGCGTCGTTCGTCGTCAACAATTGGGTTGTTAACACTCTAGCAGTCACAGTTTTGATTGGATCATCATCAAACTTTGCCAGAATGTTTGTGTCAATAAAATACAGGTCAAGTTCAAAGATTGGTCATCTCCAGTCAAGAACTAGGTCACAGGAGCTTAAAATAGAAAAAGGTTGTTAACACTAGTGACTGCAGTTTTGATCCAAATATTCTGGAAATTTGTCAGGAAGGTTGTTTTGATGATTTCTAGGTCAAGTTCGAAGATGGGTCATCTCTGGTCAAAAACTAGGTCACAGGAGCTAAAAAAAGAAAAAGCTTCTTAACACTCTAGTGGCTGCAGTTTTGATCCATATATCCTGTAAATTGATCAGGAACGTCGTTTTGATGATTTCTAGGTCAAGTTTGATTATGGATCACCTTGGGTCATAAACTATGTCACACTGCCCAAAGATGGAAAAACCTTGTTAGTCTACTCTAATGGTAACATTTTGACTCAATTCTCATCAAACTTGGTCAGGATGCTTGTCTAAGCGTTTATTGCTTGGAGGAGTTCGAATATGGGTATCTCTGATAAAAAACTAGGTCACAGGAGTAAAAAAAAAGAAAATCTTGTGTTATCCAGATATCCTGGAAATTGGTCTGCAAGTTTGTTTTGATGATTTCTAGGTCAAATTTGAATATGGGTCACCTGGGGTCAAAAGCGAGGTCACACTGCCCAAATATGGAAAAACCTTTTTAACACACTAGAGGTCACATTTTGACTCAATTATCATGAAACTTGGTCAGGATGCTTGTCTAAGACATTGCTTGGATGTGGTTGATGGGTCAGGGGAATGATCTAGGGCCATCATGGCCCTCTTGTTTCTAGAAACCAGTTGAGTGATATAGGGCCATTTTAGCCCTCTTGTATTGTTTTGTACATTCTGCATTCGACTTTACATTATTCTTATTGACCTGAGACAATAGTGGCTGATGACTGCATTAAACAGGCTCATTTTATATACAGGGTACATGTATAAAATAAGCACTAGACTATATTACAGATGTATACAGGGTACATATATAAAATAAGAATAAGGCTTATATACAAGGTACATGTATAAAACAATACTTTTAATAAAAACTGCCAACAATATAAATATTGCCAACAATAGAAGACTAGCTATAACTGTTTTGACTACTGTATAAAAATAGATTAGAAAAAACTTCATCTTATAAAATAAGATTTAAAATTATTTTCATAAGCAATATTGTCTCCTTCACTTGAAGCTTTTAAGTCTCAAATGTAAAGTCACATATTCAAAGTCAATGAAGTTGGAATCATTCTTTCAATTTATCATCTTTAATGGTATTTCAAAATGATATGAGCCACGCAATGACAGAACCAACATAGTGCGTTTGCGACCAGCATGGATCCGCGCAGTCTGATCAGGATCCATGCTGTTAGCTTACCAACTCTATTACAAGTAGAGAAACTGATAGTGAAGAGCATGGATCCTGATCAGACTGCGCGGATGCGCAGGCTGGTCTGGATCCATACTGGTCGCAAACCCTTTATGTTGGTTTTGTCATGGCGTGGCTCATGTGATAAAAATTGTAATGGCAGGCCTATATTTTGACATTTGCATCAGTTTGATAATCATATCATTGAAAACTCAAGTCTTCATACTTCCTTTTTTGATCCAATTTTATTGGCTTACCATTAAGCCGGAAAGGAGCTTACATATATGGTAGTTTGCTGCATTGTTTCTTGCCCTATGTTGAAGAGAAATCATGTAGCATTTTAATGCTTGTTGGGGTCTGTTTTCTTGTTCCATACATTGTCCTAAAATGTTTAGAGCTGTTTCTCTATGTTTGAGGTTTTTATCTGTTTCTATGGTTCTTATAAGTTTAGAAAGTGCTTGTTTCTGATCTTGATGTCTTTGTAGATGACGATAGATCTTGTATTGTAGGAAGTACAAGAAAGGTAGAGAATCAACTACAGCCCAGTCCATCCAACAGTCTTTAATTTCATGTCTGTGTATCATGTCATCTTGTGTAGATCTGAACATTTCATATTGTAGTTCATGAGGAACACAGTTGATCTCTCCGTGTATAAATCTGACACAAAATGCTGTAATATGTTTGATACAGTCCTCACTTTGTTCACCACATACCCTCCTGAGTTCTGCTGATAATGCCCGTGGATGTTTTCTCAAGCAGCTACAGTAAGGTGATACAGGATAAGAATAATATAGTTGTTCAGTGTGTCTCAGAATTAGTTCAGCTTTCTCCATATCTCCTGTACTGTAGAACACTGAAGCCAATTTAAGTCTGCTAGATGAGATATCTGAGTTTAAACAAGCTGATAACCAAACCAATGCTTGAGGTGACACTTGATTATTTTCACCAATGCTTGATGATGCTAGGATAGATCCATATGTGGTAAAAAGAAAAGGTGCTAGAAGCTTGAATGCAGCATGTTCTAATCTATTACCATTATCACTGAAGGTCATTACTTTCCCTACAGACTGCTTTATTGTTCTAAAGTTTTTATTGTGTAAATGTTTTAAAATAAGCTTATGCTGTGCACTTATGACTTTTGCAATGTTTATATATCCTAATGTCATAACTTGTCCATATATTTCAAGAGGAGAAGGAAAATAGTAAACTCCATGTGGTACCCTGTTCAGTTTAACTTGAAGTCTATAACCAAGATCATCAATATCAATACTAAGTAAAGGTTGTCTATCATTCTGTATAAAATCACAAATATTTTTTGAAAGTTCATATTTTGTCTCAGCTGTAAATTGTCCTGCCATCAAATTGTTTTCTGGTATAATGAAATGTGAACAACAGTCATTTTGTACACAACTGTGTAATTCCAATAAGCAGTATGTTAAACATGTATATAAATTGTTATCTGTCCATATTCCTGACTCTGTGTTATCTATACACTGTAATAGAACTGTTTTGCACATGAAACTTGATATGTTGATTTCATCTTTAGGATTAAGGAAGGACTTAAGAATCATTTTCAATAGTACATAGCACCTTATTTGTGTTATATTTAGATTGAACATAAGAAACCTTTCTGCCAATGTTGTAGATATTCTCCATTCTAACTCAGGATATTCACTGACCTTACTTCCAGTTGAAACAACAAAGCAACCAGTACTGGCTGCATATCTTCTTATCTCTTGTGTTGGCCATCTGCCAATACCCTGTCTATCTAACCAACCTGATGCTGATTGAGGCCATGATTTACAATGTAAAGAAAACACAAAGTCTGTATCACATTCTCCAGGTTGTCCTTTTTCAGCAATAGATGGTCCATGCTGCTGCAGAGCACCCTGAAGACAATCAGTTATCATTGTGTTTTTATACAATATTCTTCCTCTTCTATCAGTAATATAATGTTTACAAGGAGATACAGTTGCAGGTAGAGGTTCTTCACGTCTTAGTAGCTGTAAGAAACAATACCCGGGTGTAGTGTACTCATCCTGTATCATGAGGTAGTTTAACTTGCCATGTTCCCACTCTGACCAGTCTTGTATTATATTGCCATTATGATCACTGACTAGTATATCAAGGTCTGACTCAAGTCCTATAGTAGTTGTACCTTCACTTTGACTCCCTAGATAATAGTGAGTTACATTTAGACCAGTTAAACTACACCTGATTTTACTCATAGTCTCTCTCAGCATTGTTCCTCTTCTCCTTCTCATCACTGTTCTTTCATTGACACCGATGTCATGTAAAACCTCTGATAACATTAATGATAAGTATTCTCTGTAGTCAAGTTCTTGAAACATTCTGTAATATATTAGTACAGAAGAAAAATGTTTCAGTCAGCAGTCAAATTAATTTAATCACAAACTTCTACTTGTTACTTATTTGTCCTTTATGTCCTAGAACTGTTTAGAACAGGAAAGTCTGAATCTGGACATTATGAAACATAAAATAAGTAAGTTAGTGTCGATATCAATTGGTCAAAAATATTGCATATTTTTCTCTATTTGGTTGTGGTATTTTTTCTTCTTGGTTATGTCATTGTGAATATTTGTTTTCAGAATTTCAATATAAGAGAGACACTAAAATTAAACACTTATTCAAATATTCAACTAATTCATTTAATACAAATGACAAATTGTGTATATAAAATAAAGTTTAAAACATTGACTTTTGGATATAAATTTCTTAAATTTAATGAAGAGGAAATATTTCTTTTCATATGACCTGATATGTGGAAATTTAGATTTATATAACACCACAGTATATTGTGAAAAATGCATTAAAATGTAAAACATAATTATGTATATTTCTTTTTAATAAAATACATAATTCCTTTGAAAAATATTTTCTTTTTTAAGATTGATAAAAGGGAGACACACAAATTAAAAACACTTTCTAAAATATTGCCTGAACTACTTTCTTACTTAATTCATTCTGTATAAATGAGAAATTAAGTATTTAAAATAAAGTTTTAAACTTACTTTGAATGTTGTATTTAACAGTATTTCGTAGAAATAATTTAGAAAAATTAACAATAATCTTGAAAAATATTTACAACAGATATATAATTTAATACACTTTAAATTCCTGGAAAACTTTTTGAAACAGATATATATTCAAATTGTAGGATTATATTTACTGGTAAATGAGAACTTAAATAACTTGAATAAGATTTTTATAACATTTCCTTGTTACTCGTCATCATAGGGAAAATAAATGTATATAAACTTGTTTCAGATAAATTTCCTGAATGTATCTCTCCAAAAGTTGAAAGTTTATTTTTTTTAAGTCTGGAAAAAGTTTCCATTCGAGTGTATATTAATGTCCTCTATTTGCAATGGTAGTGTTACTGATACATAAATACTAAAATATTTTTAAAAACACCCAAATCACAGTTACAAATTCAAGGGATGGCAAGTCCAGCATAGTAAGAATACTGCTAAAGGTTTTCACATTAATACATATCATATTTAAGATGAAACTGTATGTAGTTTATAGAAGGAGTGAGATATATGATATATGACACTGATGAAAAAACTTAAAAATCTTCTTTTAAAAACCCCAAATAGCTAGAGCTTAGATATAAAGCATGAAACATCCTCTAGTGGGTGTCTACCAAGTTTGTTCAAATAAAAGCCCTGGGTTAAAAATTGGCCCCGCCCCAGGGGCTCATTGTTTTTCCCTATATGTATAAAGTAAATACTTGAAAAATCTTCTTTTAAAATCCCCAAAGAGCTAGAGCTAAGATATTTAGCGTGAAACATCTTCTAATTTCATCTTCCAAGTTTGTTCAAATTGGCCCCGCCCCAGGGGTCATTGATTTTCCTTATATGTGTATTGTAAAAACTTAAAAATCTTCTTTTAAAGAAACCAAAAAAGCAAGAGTTCAGATACTAAGCATGTAAATATCTTCTAATAGGTGTCTACCATGTTTGTTTAAATAAAAGCCCTGCAGTCAAAATTGGCCCCCTCCAGGGTGGGTGGGGGGTCATTGGTTTTCCTATATGTATATAGTAAAAACTTAAAAAATATTCTTATATAAACCCCAAAGAGCTAGAGCTTAGATATTTATCATGAAACATCTTCTAATATCTAATAGGGCCCTCATGGCCCTCTTGTTTTGATACTTAACAGGATACAAAAAATAAAAATGGTTTGAGAAATAAAAAGCATTTTTGGGGCATAGTGGGCCTTTAACTTGATAATTAAGAGCTTAGAGCTTATTTATATTACTCTGTTGTCACTTTGCTGAAAATCTCGAAAAACAAGGTCATGACCCAAGTAACTTAATAGCACAATTCCTTGGTTATGAGGCTATCAATTTAATTTTTAGGCCATGTATTGTGGTAAGGTAGAACCACTTACTACATATCTTCATTAAAGTATATAAATCTATATATCAGCAAACTGTAGTTTACAAAATTATTGTTTGAAATAAAACAAAAAATATCTCTGAAAGCATTTGAACCGTGTCATGACAAAACCAACATAGTGTGTTTGCGACCATCATGGATCCAGACTTAAGCCTGCGCATCTGCGCAGTCTGATCAGGATCCTTGCTGTTTGCTATCAGTTTCTCTACTTGTAATAGAGTTGGTAGGCAAACAGCATGGATCCTGATCAGACTGCCCGGATGCGGAGACTGGTCTGGATCCGTGCTGGTCGCAAACGCACTATGTTGGTTTTGTCATGACACGGCTCAATTTTGATATAGGATTGGAACAAAGATTGACAGAGCAGTGTTTTAACGGCAAAGTTTTAGTTTCATCATTATCTGCAGAGATCAATAACTAATTAACGATGATAAACTTTTCTCTGAATATCATCATATCAACTTAATTCAATGCCATGGTTACAAACAAATAGCTAATTTGCTTGTTCATTTACTTCTTGAAATGTGACTCTTACATTATATTATCAGTTGTAATTGGTCCAGACAAACATCAATGGTAAACTAATCATGAAAATGTATTTCAAGTCTTCTCATGTCAAACAAACTTCAGTCCCTTTAACAATTTGAGCGGTGTCACGACAAAACCAACATAATGGGTTTGCGACCAGCATGGATCAAGACCAGCCTGCGCATCCACGCACTCTGATCAGGATCCATGCTGTTCGCTAACTAACCCTATAACAAGTAGTGAAACTGATAGCCAAAAGCATTGATCCTGACCAGACTGAGTAGATGCTCAGGCTGATCTGGAACCATGCTGGTCGCAAACCCATTATGTTGGTTTTGTCGTGACGCGGCTCATTTATATTACTAGTAATAATAAATTTCACCAGCATTAAGAAAATTGAGTTATTAATATATGTTGTTTCTTTTTTCAAATTACATGATTATTTTGTTGTTTTTTTTCCTAGGTTTGTCAACAGAACAAATTATTAAAGGCACGTTTAGCAAAGATACACGGGGAATCGTCACTGTCAGATTTACATCTGTCAAGCCCCCCACCCAGCCCCATAGAACACAGCGTATGTATAATTAAAGAGTTTCTTTCTTTTGGGGGGGGGGTGGGGTGAATGGTTTATTTGTTGTCAGTGTAGTCAGACATTTAAGTTTATGGGGGTCGGTGGCCGAGTGGTTAAGGTAGTTGTCTCCAAACCACTTGCCCCTCACCACTGTGGGTTCAGAATGCTGATAGGGACGTCGGGTACTTTCATGTGAGGAAGCTATCCAGCTAGCTTACGGAACATTGGTGGTTCTACTCAGGTGCCCGTTCATGCCTGAAATAATGCACGGAAGGGCACCTGAGGTCTTCCTCCACCAATAAAGCTGGAACGTCGCCATAAGACCTAATAATGTGTCGGTGTGATGTAAAACCCAATATGATGATTAATAATGATTTAAAGGGTTTTAATCTATTTTAGGTTCCACAGTTGACGCAGTCATTTTCTGCGGAAAGTTGTTCCATGTCAGAATATTATGATGCAGTGGAGGAGAACAATGCAGAATCTCTTAGTGATTCTTCATCAGAGGTGAGACTTACATGATAAATATTGTATTCTGAGACATGATTTGGTATAAATGTGTTGTCTGGTGTCTTAAAATGAATTTATCTAGAGAAGTGCTGGAAATTGAAGGCCCCTGTTTATAGATTTCACACAGCAGTCAGGGTTCTCTGATAGGTCTTTACCTTTGTCACAAAGAAGAAACTTTACTTCGCCTGAAGATTGAACCAATCACCCCTTGAAACAACCTCAAACAAAAAAAAAAGATAATAATATCACAAAAATATACAAAAATAACAAAATTTCATACGCCAGTATGCATAGGTGTACAGGCTGGGCTGGCTCTATTCTGGTATCAAAGGCCAGTAACTCCCAGTTCCAGCAAGTGACGGGTTAAGCATGTTTATGTTAAGAAAAGCACAACATTTTATTCATAATATTTATAACAAAGATGTGTTTTTTATAATAACAGAGGTCTGATGAAGAGATATCAAGTGACATTAGTGATGACAATGATACAGAAGTCAGTATGGCACATAGTGGTAATTGCTTTAGTCATTTCCTTATAAGATTTACATTACATTTCAACATAAACTTCATTATGACTTACTCGGATAGATGATTTGTCACATTTTGGATAAAGTAGGCTTTGAAATAGTTGACAAAGATTACTGAAAGCTTCTACCTTGATGATATTCAGTGTGTAAAGAATCTGTGTTAATTTTCAAACCCACTGAAATGGTGCTTCAAGCTTCAGTCATAAGCTGTTGCAATTTGAGCCGCGCCATGACAAAACCAACATAATGTGTTTGCGACCAGCATGGATCGAGACCAGCCTGCGCATCCGCGCAGTCTGATCAGGATCCATGCTGTCCGCTATCAGTTTCTCTACTTGTAATAGAGTTGGTAAGCAAACAGCATGGATCCTGATCAGACTGCACAGATGTGCAGGCTAGTCTGGATCCATGCTGGTCGCAAACGCATTACGTTGGTTTTGAGATGGCGCAGCTCATTTATAGAACAGTGTTGGCTAATGCTATAAAATACATGTAAGTGATTTGATTTACCAGAAGAAGGTTTACATCTCCACATCAGGGACCTGGCAATCACAATTTTTAAAGCCCATAAGTAGATAAAAGCAATGGAGGGGATATTGGTTATTTTGCATAAAAAAGAAAGTGGTAAAATCCTGCAAACTGTTTGTTAATAAGCTTATGCCACATAATTGATTGTATATTTAAAGTATATCTAAAAGTTCTTTCGGCAATAATTATCTTAGATATAATTATCATCTAAGCAACATATGTAACTTTCAAGCTTTGAATTTAAAGTTTTTTTTAAAATTTTGATATGTTATGATTTATTTTCAGCATCAGAAGACAATATTCTGACAAAGTTTCAGACTGGTCGTAGATCTAAACTTCCAGTTCCGAAACCAGACAAGGGGGATGTGTCATTGTGGAATTTGTTGTTCAGGAATATTGGCAAAGATCTGACCAAAATATCAATGCCTGTTACATTGAATGAACCTTTAAGTATGCTACAGGTATGGAGTCTTTATTTGTTGAAGTGTGCTTACCAAATGAATACCCAGTGTAAAAGATGTATGTTTTGTTTACTTTTAAGAAAGAGTGTAAGGTCTGTGTGTTGAGCTTACTGTGTATAAAGAGTGCAAGGTCTGTGTGTTGAGCTTACTGTGTATAAAGAGTGCAAGGTCTGTGTGTCGAGCTTACTGTGTATAAAGAGTGTAAGGTCTGTGTGTTGAGCTTACTGTGCAGAAAGAGTGTTAGGTCTGTGTGTTGAGCTTACTGTGTATAAAGAGTACAAGGTCTGTGTGTTGAGCTTACTGTGTATAAAGAGTGCAAGGTCTGTGTGTTGAGCTTACTGTGTATAAAGAGTGTAAGGTCTGTGTGTTGAGCTTACTGTGCAGAAAGAGTGTTAGGTCTGTGTGTTGAGCTTACTGTGTATAATGAGTACAAGGTCTGTGTGTTGAGCTTACTGTGTATAAAGAGTGCAAGGTCTGTGTGTTGAGCTTACTGTGTATAAAGAGTGCAAGGTCTGTGTGTTGAGCTTACTGTGTAGAAGGAGTGTAAGGCCTGTGTGTTAAATAGTTGTAAGGTTTGTGTGTTGAGCTTACTATGTAGGAATAGTGTAAGATTGATGTGTGCAGCTTATTGTGCAGAAAGAGTGTAGGATTTGTGTTTTTAGCTTAATGTGCAGAAAGTGTGTCAGGTATGTGTGTTTGGCTTACTGTGTAGAAAGAGTATAATGTTTGTGTATTTAGCTTACTGTGTATGAAGAGTGTAAAGTGTGTGTATTTAGCTTACTGTTTATGAAGAGTGTAAGGTTTGTGTATTTAGCTTACTGTGTATGAAGAGTGTAAGGTTTGTGTATTTAGCTTACTGTTTATGAAGAGTGTAAGGTTTGTGTATTTAGCTTACTGTGTATGAAGAGTGTAAGGTTTGTGTATTTAGCTTACTGTTTATGAAGAGTGTAAGGTTTGTGTATTTAGCTTACTGTTTATGAAGAGTGTAAGGTTTGTGTATTTAGCTTACTGTTTATGAAGAGTGTTAGGTTTGTGTATTAAGCTAATTGTTTATGAAGAGTGTAAGGTTTGTGTATCTAGCTTACTGTTTATGAAGAGTGTAAGGTTTGTGTATTTAGCTTAATGTGTATAAAGAGTGTAAGGTTTGTGTATTTAGCTTACTGTTTATGAAGAGTGTAAGGTTTGTGTATTTAGCTTACTGTTTATGAAGAGTGTAAGGTTTGTGTATTTAGCTTAATGTGTATAAAGAGTGTAAGGTTTGTGTACTTAGCTTTCTGTGTAGGAAAGAATGTAAGATCTATGTGTTTAGCTTTCTTTGTAGAAAGAGTGTTAAGTGTTCCCCTATGATCATACAAATTTCCTTGGCTAATTAACAAATATAAAGTTTAGGAAATGTAAGAACTGAGAACATCTTCATAGGAATTAATGTTTCTTGTTTGTATATATTTCAGCGCCTGTGTGAGGAGTTGGAATACAGTGACCTGATAGATAAAGCCACAGAGTACAATGATCCCTATGAAAGAATGGTTTGTACAAGCTTCACATTTAGTTTATGTCTACTCAGATGTCAGTGCTCCATGTTACCTATGGTGACCAAATAAATATAACTATATGTTCAGTAGCACTTGAAACTCAAACAAAGAGAAAAGATTTAGATAGAAAAATAAAAAGTTTGTAAATTTCTTCAAAAAATGTAATCTTAAAAGATGATCACAATATTTTAAAAGGTAATATTATAATAACGATATGTGTAGATGCTAGACATTATTTTGAATTCTACCTAGGGAGATTAATTTTATAAAGCGGAAGCTGTTGATTGGATACATTTTTATATTGCGGAAGATATTACATTGTAATTGACTTTTGTAATACTAGTATTATATATGAAAAATTAGATGATTTATATAAGCCTTGTGAATATGCAATTTCATCGTTATAGCTAATAAGATATTTTTCATTTAAAAAACAAATTTTCTCATTAATTTGCAGGAGTCAGGAAATTCTGTAATTGATATCTGTTTAATTTGTGATTGTTATTGTTACAGAAGGAAATGAAATGAAATTTTACACTTGATAAATATTCAGTGTTCCAATAGAGTTATTATTGCATTTCATATTAAAAGGATTTGAACTTTTATTTATGAGGTCACTCCACAGGTAATGGAAAAAAGCCCACTGCACAAAAGCACACCCTGTAAAATTTTCCTCTTTGTGATTATCTAACATGATGCGCACAGGTCCTATAACTCTGAGTTACCTTTTTACAGAGTTATGCCCCTTTTATTACTGTCTTAGTGTCTAGCACTGACAATAGTAGAGTGTACTGTCTTACAGACAACTCTTGTTGAAATCCTTAAGCTTTGATTGGTCAGGGCGTCCATGGCTGAGTGGTTAAGGTCATTGACTTCAAACCACTTGCCCCTCACCGTTGTGGGTTTGAATCCCGACAGGGACTTTGGATTCTTTCATGTGAGGAAGCTATCCAGCTAGCTTATGGATGTTGGTGGTTCTACTTGGGTGCCCGTTCTTGCCTGAAATAATGCACGGAAGGTCACCTGAGGTCTTCCCCCACCAGTTAAGCAGGAACATCACCAAATGACCTATACTGTTGATGTGACGTAAAACCCAATCAAACAAACAAACAAACTTTGATTGGTCTGTTCCAAAATTAAATTAAATCCTGACAAATTCATTATGCAAATCTATCAGGTTTAATGTGATAAAGTACTAAAAGTGACAAAAAGTAAACAAATTTATCTGATCTATTGTATGATTGAGAAAGTCTATATATTTATGTTATCTTGATTTTCAGATTTATATAGCAGCATTTGCTGTGAGCAGCTATGCAAGCTCCTGTTACAGAGTGGGTCACAAACCATTTAACCCTCTACTTGGTGAAACATACGAAAATGTACGAGAAGACAGGGGATGGAGGTTTGTTGCAGAGCAGGTAAGGTTATCAGTGTTTTAATCAATTACATTATCATTATTGTTAAATTCTTTGAGACTGTTTTCTAAGGATACAGAATGTGCAAGTACATAGCATGATCATATGTCCGGGGCTGTTTGGTTAGGATCGTTGAGTTGAAACCACTTGCCCCTTACCGCTGTAGGTTTGAATCCTGCCAGGGACTTTGGATTATTTCATGTGAGGAAGCTATCCAGTTAGGAAACGGAAAGTAGATGGTTCTACTCAGGTGCCTTTTCGTGCCTGAAATAATGCACAAAGGGGCACCGGAGGTCTTCCTCCACCAGTAAGGCTGGAAAGTCTCCATATGACTTATACTCTATTGTGTTTGTGAGATGTTAAACCCAACCAAAAAAGAATTATTATTATCATATGTTCATTGACAATCTTTTCAACTGAAACTTGTAAATAAAATATTGGTAAATACAGGGGTTTTCAGGAATTGTTAAAACATAAATGTTCATCCATCTTGTTATACTTTCGTATGTTAAAAATGGTCACTAAAGATTAATTTACACAACAATGTGTCATACATGTATGATTTGAATTTGGTTTACAACTAGACATAAATATTTCCAGATTGTGTGTTTCTTAACTCAAAGGATTGTTATATAAATTGGTTGTTCTGTTAATAATATAATAAAGTATAAGGTGTTAGTTACACTAGATAAAAATGTAACATGGGAAGTTGACAGCAAGGTCTGTTTAAGGCTCTTTATTACATGTGAGTGCACTTGAAACTTCTGATGGCAATTGAATATAACCATGTGCCCAGTGCAGACCAAGATCAGCTGGGACATCCTTGCCTATTGATCATGGTCTGTACTGTTCTCTAATCAGTCAGTACTTATTTTGAAATTTTCCCTATTCATGATAAATGGTTTAGTCTAGATTGAAAGGTGGACAAGTACATTTATGATATTTAGGGTGGTAAGGTATCCCACACATGTCATGGCTTACAGTTATTTGCAGAAACTTGGAGGTGGAATTATTTGAATATGTTTATATTGGTTAGTACCCAATGAAGTTATATACAGTTGAAACTGTACTAACGGTCACCTCTTATCGGCGGTCACCTGACCTTAACGGCCATTTTGTGACGCTCCCGACGAAAACCACTCTATTTTATACATCTGTTCAACGGTCACCTGCTGTCCGCGGGGTCAACGGTCACCTAAAATGCTTCCCGAATCTTAAAGTCGGTCATCTTAAACGGTCAGCCAGGTGAAACGGCCAGGCAATCTTCTGCGGTCAGCCAGGTGAAACGGCCAGGCAATCTTCTGTCATTTATTTTCAAAGATGACACGTGTCACGGATTAACAAAAGTTACTTGTCAGGTGCTAGATATTAACACAAACCACAACATTTCAAGAAGTTTGCATAATTGCTCATCCGTGTCGTAATTACAAACGTTTGGAACGTCTAAACGCACTTGCAATTCGTTCGTTTGAGTTACTGTATGCTAGTTTTTTATTTTTCAATTTACCGATTTTAAGAAAAAAAGAAAGAAGAAAAAAATGCATTGTCAATGTCAGAAAGAAATTTCAGTTTATCCCGATTCAGATAAATTTTGTGCGTACATGGTACTTACCAAAGAAATGAAAATGAATTACATCACCGATTGTCTAAATTCCTCAGTAATAAATTCATAAAAACACTTGCTCCATGTGTGAAAATAAAATTGCATGAATATAATGAGGTCACTGTTAAATCACAGCCATTAAGTTAACACACCAGATGACCTCTAAGAGGTAACAAGCGATCTCTTCAAAGGAAACTTTGATGTTTACAAACCTGTAGCCCTGGTGTTTCAATCCGAAACATCAAAGGAAGTGCCGACACTTAGATGACGTGTACACAATATTCTATTGATCAAAAGTTAGAAAAAGAAACTGTCATACTTTTTTTGTGAAAACAATATTACGCATTTTAAATTATTGTGCAGGAAGATATTTTTATGGGATAAATAGTTTCAATTATTGACATAATAAATTGTGAGTGCATTTGTTTATCTGTGTTACATTCATGTAAAGCTTTATATGTTGGAAGGATTGTGTACATGTTAAACCATTAAAAGCAAACGTTTGTAAATGGTTAAAAACTGATGATGATGATGATGATGATGATGAATCAGACTGGTTTATTTATACTTAAATCAGATTTATTTTACAAAGAAATGAATAATTTATTTGGATAAAAACTGGATCCTCCATTCAGCAGCCACCTGTCTTAAGCAGCCAAAATGACTGCATCCCTTGGCTGGCTGCTTAAGACAGTTTCGACTGTACAATAAAAAGTTGGGAGACTGACATAATGTATATGTCTAATATTTCTGCAAAACTACTAAAATATATATTTTTGTAATTTTGTTTTGTTTTGTACAAACAGGTGAGCCATCATCCACCCATATCAGCATGCTACTGTGATTCCAAACATTTCAAATTATGGCAAGGTAAAACTTTGTTTTGTTCTGTTTTTTATGACAATAGATATCTTATACTTTTTGCAACTAAATTATAAGAGGTTTATAAGGGAAACAACAAATTGAATTTCCGGGTAACTTTAAGGGTAGCACTTAACTTATCAACTTGGTTAGGTCCTCTCAAACTTTTTTATAGGTGGTAAGTCACACCTTCTCTGTCAAAATTTCTCTGTGCCAATACATCTTAGATATACAAGTTTAATGGTCATATTGTCTCTTACTGCTGATTAAAGGGACTCCACTGAGGTTTTTTGACATGATGGGACTGAAAATAACGTTTCCAGATAAATGTACCATTGATAAAGGTTTAGACCACTAATCTAGGTGCAAAATTTCAGATATTTCGTGCAATTCGTTTTTCCAGAAAAATTATTAAAATCGTAAAAAATGACCCAGAATGAAAAGCGTTTAAAAACTTTTCACTCAAATCGGGCTAAGAAAAGCATAAAGATACGTTTTTCAATTTATTTCAAACTATATTTCTTAACTATCTTTGCATATATTTCTGTTTAAAGTGTCCCAGCTCATTAATGTAAGAAATTCAAATGTTATGTTTTTAGGCTTTGAAACCTCAGTGGAGTCCCTTTAAGAAATTATGTAGGATTAGTAGTAGTTCATCTGCAGAGAAGTTCATCTGCAGAGAAGTTATCAGCAATAGCCAATCAGGTTGAAAGAATGCCAAGATTAGACAAAAAAATTATTTATATATATGTATTAAATATATAATGATGAAAGAAGACCAGAGATATTTCTTTGGCTTTTAATTGAGTCACAGAAGTTCCATTTGTCCAGTCTCATGTCACATGTAAGAATCAAAAGTTTCTTGAGAAAATTTTCACCAGACTTGTATTGGAGGCAAGGGATGCTGTAAGTGAATGTGATACTTGATTTTGTTTTATTTCAGATGTACAAATAAAGACAAAGTTTTGGGGGAAGTCTATGGAAATACAACCTCTTGGAGTTGTTAATGTTCTCTTGCCAAAGTAAGCTCTATACATTTAAATTATGCCTTACGTAAATGAATTTTTTTTTACTGGGTTGAGAATGGTTTCCATAAACCTCGTGCTGATGTCAGCTATTTTGATATCACATGTTGTGATATATGGCACATATCAATGTACTCTAGGAAAAATATTTGAGCCGTGCCATGACAAAACCAGCATAATGGGTTTGCGACCAGCATGGATCCAGATCAGCCTGCGCATCCGTTCAGTCTGATCAGGATCCATGCTGTTTGCTATCAGTTTCTCTATATGTTATATGATTTGTAAGCAAACAGCATGGATCCTGATCAGACTGCACTGATGCGCAGGCTGGTCTGGATCCACGTTGGTCGCAAACCCATTATGTTGGTTTTGTCGTGACGTGGCTCATTTAGTCTCATATTTGAACTAATTTAATACATTCAGTATGAAAAGACAATCATGTTAGATCATCTGTTAAATCATGCATTATACAAGGTGACTGCTTTAAGTTTTCAGTGAATTCTACCTGAAATGTAGTTTCTTATGCAGTGTATTTTCATTTTGTACAGTTATAGTAAATGCAATACATGTATAACTTAGCACATAGTACCTCAGGCCTACTAGCATAATAGCTACCTCTCAGACCCAACCAATCATTGCAAAAAAAGGTTATGGAGTCTTTAAGGGGTATTTTGACATGATAGGACTGGAAATAATTTTTCGAGATTAATGTTCCATTTGATTTTCGTCTAGGCAAAAAACTTTTTTTGTGCAAAACTCCAGATCATTCTCTTACTCTGTTTTTCCAAAATAATCATTTTAATTGTGAAAACTGACCTTAATTGAAAAGCATTGCAATATTTTTTCACTCAAATCTGGCTAATAATTGCTCAAAAAATACAATTTTCAATTCATTTCTAAGTATATTTTTTTAATTGTCTTCTACGTAAATTTCTGTCTTAAGTGCCCCAGGTGATCTATGTAAAAACCTCAAATTTTAAGTTTTTAGGCTTTTGGAGATCAGTGGAGTTCCTTTAAAGTATAGAGTAGTTCAACAAATAATGTTCGTATATAATGATTTTTAATGTTGAAAATATTTTATCCCTGTTAAGGTTCAAAGACCATTATCGCTGGAATAAAGTGACCACTTGTGTCCATAATATACTCGGAGGTCAAAGATGGGTCGACCAGTTTGGTGAAATGACCATCACAAATGGGAATATAGTCTGTAAGCTGACATTCACTAAGGTAAGTAATGTAAATTTGATAAACCCTCTGAATTGATTTAATGGATTTGCACAGCTTTGAATCTGGAACTGATAACTTTTTCAGGAAATTTCTTAACAAAATACAGTCAAATCTCTGTTATAAGACTACCTCTGAATAGATATAACCCTGTAAATAAAGGCCATTTTTTTGATAACCCTTATTAATAAAATGGAATAAAGTAACTTGTAAATAAAGACCTATTGTCTATAAAGACCATGTTTTGTCTCTCCCTTTGGTGGCCTTTGTTCACAGTTTTGACTGTATTATTGCTTTCAAAAATATATGAGCCACGTCATGACAAAACCAACATAATGGGTTTGCGACCAGCATGGATCCAGACCAGCTTGGGCATCCGCGCAGTCTGATCAGGATCCATGCTGTTCGCTATCAGTTTCTCTACTTTTTATAGGGTTTTTAGCGAACAGCATGGATCCTGATCAGACTGCGCGGATGCGCAGGCTGGTCTGGATCCATGCTGGTCGCAAACCCATTATGTTGGTTTTGTCATGACGCGGCTCATATGATGTTTGTATATTGTTTTACAGGCAAGTCACTACTACCAGTCGGACAAGAGGCACGAGGTTTATGGAACCATTCTCAACCCAGAAGGAAAAGTGGTCCATAATTTGTTTGGTAAATGGAATGAGGCCCTGTATTGTGGCCACGCCCCCTCAGCCAGGTGTATATGGAGGCCAGGTAAGCAGTTAATTAAGACGTGATTTAATTGCTATACATGTAGTTACTGCATGTTGTAACAAATTGTTTTCTAGGAGTATTGCTGGAGTCTATATGTATTAAATTGTTTGATTACAACCTACTGGAGGTGATACAATGAAATTGTTTACCCGAGACAAGTGATGTCAACCAAGGAGAGGGGGTCAGCCAAGGTTGATTTTATATTGTGGAGGGGGAACATTTTGTTCCGTCACCCACAGTGATGTGATATTTATTTTATTATACCGAACATATTAATATAATGTTAATAATTAAGTGTTTTCATAATGGCCTTGTTATTGGGCTGAAGACTGTTAAGTTCTTGGTGAACAAAAAATTACTTATATGAAATTCGGTTGTTGTAAGGTATTGCAAATGAGATTCTTGATTCTTGCAGTAATTCAAAATGGCGACTTTTTAAAAGCAGAGTCATAATGGTCGAGCTGGAGAGCCAATCAAAATTCTCCAATCTCATAATAGCAGAGATTTCTCATAAAGGCCGTACATTTTGCATAACGGCCTTGTTTTATATTCATAATGCTGTGGTGAACTTCATATTAGCCTTACATTTAAAGTGAAAATGTGCCTAATATTGAAAAAATAATTATATTCAAGAAAGGCGTCTAATAATTAAAACCTTGCACTACATTAATAGTTTTTTCTACTTTACAAACAATATAAGACTCTGTATCATTAGCCCAATCATTATACTCACTCAGGCATCCGAGTCTCTCTTTTGTTAAGTTCATCTGTGCAAGTTGGTATGTCTAAAACTCCTGAAGGGAATGGTTTGAAGCTTCACACACTTATTTGAGAGCATAATAGGAGGTCATTATGTAGGACCCATAACTCTGACATGGACTTCAACAGAATTGTAGCTCTTTTTAAATTTAGAAAATTCTACATTATCCAGGCTTTTGTTTTACCATCAAACACTAAGAATAGTCATGCACCCTGTATTTCCACCAGCTTTTGTTTTGAAAAGGGCTAACTCTAATTTTAAACATTCCATTAATGAACAGGTACTATGCCAGAAGATTATGAAGTGTACTATGGTTTTTCACGGTTCGCAATGGAGCTGAACGAGGTTTTACCGGATGAAGCTTCGATGCTCGCGCCGACAGATTCGAGATTTAGACCAGGACCAGAGATTGTTGGAAGAAGGCAAGATAAATGAGGCGGAGCTTGAAAAGTCAAGGGTGGAGACCCTACAGAGAGACCGTCGAAAGAAAAGGGAGGCGGCTAAGGAAGAATGCAAACCTGTATGGTTCAAGTACGTATGATCCTGTCTTTTCATGAGTTTGCTTGTAAGTTTGATGTGCGTGGTAAGGACTAAGAATATTATTTCAGTATTTGCACTAGAGCAATACAAAGTGTAAAATATGGAAAAATATGTCTAGGTTCCCCCCTTGTGGCTGAGGGGTTGCCTTTAAGGATTTAGGCATCAGAATTTCAGCCACCATTTATCCCTGCTTGATTATAAGAGCCAAATTCTGGAGTTTATGCATCTCTTAGCTCCAGTAGGTGAGGTGGTTTTGATCTATTGTATTACTTCAAGTTTGTAACACTCAAGGTTAGCCAAAGTCATCTTTCCTATTTCATACCTAGATTGTTTTGGTGCACGGTAAAACCAAACAAAACAAAATCCATCGAGTTTTATTTGGCCAATTATAAATGACTGTAAGAAACTTATAGGTATATGTGTAAATACATGAAATCAAAAAGTAATGTGTGCACATGGTTAGTTGGTTAGAGGGATAAAATTTTTGAGATTTGTACAGTCTGGTAACAGTAAATATAGCCAAATTTGGTATTATCACTATCAAATTATATTGTAGTTTATGTGATAAATTTATCTACTTCTTATGTTATGTTTTAAGGAAAGAGAAGATTAAAGGAAAAGACTATTACTCGTATGACAACAGGTACTGGGAATGTCGTAAAGAACCAGGCTTTATGAAGATGACTTTACCCAAGATCTGGTGATTGTGTTCAAGTAGTGCCTAGATAGTGTATCAATTTGAACTATAGTATAAGTAGACAGTGCTATTAGAGAAAAAATTAATACTAGTACATTATCCCTCAGCCTGCTGGATCCAAAAACTGATAATGAGCCTTTGCCACCAGTATAGAGCCAGGCCAGCCTGCGCATCCATGCAGTCTGACCAAGCTCTATACTGTTGGTTCACTCCCTTTAAATTTGAGTTCAAATCACAAACACCTCACCACTGTGGATTCGAATCCTGACAGGGACTCTTCCTGACCAAGCTTGTTGAAGATGGTTATACTCACTACTTAGGTCCCTGTTTGTGCCATAAAAATAATGCACAGAGGGGCACCTGGTGTCTACCTCCACCAGTAAAGCAGGAAACTCACTTTCTGACCTATACTGTGTTGATGGGACGTCTAAAATTGATAATGAACAGTTCTAGAAATAGACGCAACGACAAGTCTAAGTGTAGAAATTCCATCGACACCTAACCTTTAAAAAAACTTTAAAATTTTCATTGTGATATCCCTAAAATTGATAATGAACAGTCTCAAAAACACACAATAAGGCAAGTCCATTTTAGAAATTCAGCAGGTTAAGGGTTATATGTCTAGACAATGTAGTAATTGAAATATTGAATGCTTACACTGTGTAGTAAGTTAAATATGATTTATGATTTACTCTTTTTGTACTTGCTAGTACAATGCATGTGTCATAATATATGCTAAAATAATATTCAAATGATTTTGTTTAATCAGTTTATGAAGATACATGTATATTAAGAATATGTAATATTTACTGATATATTTATATCAGTCTACTTTTAGAATTGAGATATTGCAAAAATAAAACTTTGTGTTGCAACAATTTAAAGCTTGACTATTCAAAGAACATGGAGAGTTATTGTGCTTACCCAGGCGTCTGAGCCAGATTTTGGTTGAGTTTTTTGCATACAAGTTGCAATCTCCAAAACTACATAAGGGAATGGCTTGAAACTTCACACACTTGTTTGTTGTGATTTTCTAAAATGATGAACACAGTGCCTATTACTCTGGGTAACTTTTTACTACTATCATTTACTTCTACTTTTATTACTATCAAGCACTGAGAATAGTCAATGGCACTGTTTTACGGACAGCTCTTGTTATTTAAGTATACCAAGATAGATTATATATTAAGTTTTTTTTTTTTAATTATAACAAGTATTATGGCAGTACAAGAAGTATACTATACACCTGCAATTTATACACTCACTAATTATACAAAAGACACATATCTTGTTATGATAATTACTGAATTATGATATCTAGAGTTTTAAGTCATTTACTAGTATCCAGATATCTTAAAGTTTATGTAATCAGTGACTCAAACTTCTTTTTTTCTATTTTAAAGGCAGTTAACTCTTGGAACATTATTGGCCAATAGTTTAACAGGAGTTAGATACCTTGAATTTCTTTTGATGGGCACATAGTTGTTATTTCCTGTTTTTTTAAAGCTTTCTTTATGTAATACTGCAATAGGTGTATGGGTTGTAGTAATAGTCCCTGTTTATTACTGTAAAACATATTTTTCATCTCGAAATTTTATTTTTCATGAAGATTATATTTATTATTTATATACATTTATACATGTATAACTATAATCATATGTTTACTATACAGTAAATCAATGTCCCTACTTTAGGAAATATATATTATATTGACTGACATATGATTTTTTGAGGATTTTTCATTTTTTCTCATATTTGAGAACATGACATACACCTAGAGATGTTACTCTATTTTTAGTGAACATGTGACCTTTCTTATGGTCACATGACAGATAAATTTTAAAATGGCAACTGTTTACTTTCACTAAAAGTGTGATAAATATATTTGTTATTTGATAAATAATCGGGTTACAGTATGGGCAGATAAACCAAGTTAACATGATTGGTTACTTATTTTTGTGTCAGTACTTTATACAATAAATATCTATTTGAAAATACTGATAAAAAGTCACCGTAGCTTTTTTAACTTGTATTAAATGTCAGTGAAATTTCAATAGTTACGTATTAATATTCTAAACAAGAGCTAAATAACTACACATGTATATGTTGAATGAATATAATGATTGAAATCTCTGAAGGTTAAACTTTTTGGTTTTGCTAAATAAACTTTTTTATATATATCAGTTTTGTTATTTTATTTAATTTTTATAACTGAAATTTAAATTTGGTCATAATGACAAAATCAAAATAAGTGATGCATTGATTAGGGTGTAGAGATAGGTGTTGATGTCAGGCATGGGGGCTTGGGGTAAGGCATTGGGGGTTAGGGTCAGGCATGAAGGGTGACTGTCAGGTATGATGGCGTGGGGGTCAGGCATCAGGGAAGGGATATTGGCCAGATTGATAGGATATGGTATCAATGACTTTGCAAATATTTATATCTTATATTTTTATCTCACAATGTTAATCAAATATTCATGAATAATTGAATAATCAAATATTCATATATAATTGAATAATCAAATATTCATGAATAATTGAATAATCAAATATTCATATATAATTGAATAATCAAATATTCATGAATAATTGAATAATCAAATATTTGTGAATAATTGAATAATCAAATATTAATGAATAATTGAATGCTGTTCTTTTGATATACTAGTAATTATTATATTCATTATGGTTAATATTAACAGATTGGCGATCCACATCATCGGTTAAAATGCTGTAAAAATCTTCTGTATTTTTCAGCCTGTAGATTAAGATGTCCCTTGGCCAAATTGGTTGTTTTTGTTGGCACATCTGTTGCCTCAGATAAATATATATAAAAAAAACTGTTATTATTCTCATGTGTGAAACTATTCAAAAGTTTGAAGTTTGAAAGAATGAGAAATCATTTTTGAAAGCTTAATCGTCCATCTAGTAGAAATCAAATCTTATTTTTAAGATTTTTTTAGACTTATTTGCCTTGTTGTTTTTTTGTTTGTTTGTTTTGTTGTTGTTTTTATAAAATGTTTGTTACTGTTTTATTTCCAACAATTTGACGGCATATGGTGTTTTCTTTTTTACAAACATCATAATAATTATGATGTTTTAAGTCTTTCACTTTATTAATATCTGGAGCCTACGTGTTGAATTGTAATAATATTTACATGCATTAGTGTATGTACATTAGCATAGCATTGTTTTGTAATGTTGACAGTATAGTATTCCATAAGGAATATTTTGTACAGCTTTAAAGGCCCATTATGCCTCAGAAATGCTTCTATTTTTATTCCTTAAAAGCTTTTTAAATGTTGCTTTACTTTTATGGTGCCATTCCAAAATGTTACTCATTGGCCAACTACCTGAACCATCTTTTTCTTCCATTGCCTTTTTGCAATACGTACAACTGTTATAGTGAACTAGTATTTTGTATAGAAGTCAAAATACTACATTTTGTACTTTGCTTACATTTTTCTACTTTTATGACAAATAACTTCCCTTTTACTGTTACTTTCTTCATGTTACAAGCATCTGAAATTCTCTAAAACTATTATCTAAACATTATAAAATTTGCCCTTTCTTATAAAAAGTATAAATTTATTACCTTCTGAGGCATGATGTGCCTTTAAGATAAAGAGATTATTGTTTGAATTTTACATCTTTTACCCTTAACCTCCTGAATTTGTAAAATGGATTTGCCCAGCTTTGAATTTGGACCAGTCCAATCACAATTTAAGGGAGGTCAATATCAAAATATAAAATTTTAGTTTCTAACAGTAGTCTGGCCTGGCTTCATATTGGTGACAAATGCCAGTCATTTTCAAATCCGGCAGGTTAAGGAACTCACATGGGAGGGAATCCATAATATATTCAGTTCTCTCCCTTGCACAGTCTCATTTGTCACTTTGTGGATTTGTGTGATAAGTTTGTAAATCTTGCATAAAAAATAAAAGCATAGGGATCTGTACATTGGTTTACAATAAACATATGACTGTATTAGATTTGTACATTGATTTACAATAGATCTGTTACCATGTTAGATCTATACATTGATTTACAATAGACATGTTACTGTTTTAGATCTGTACATTGATTTACAATAGACATGTTACCGTATTAGATCTATAGATTGATATGTTACCGTATTAGATCTATACATTGATTTACAATAGACATATTAATGTATTAGATCTGTACATTGATTTACAATAGACATATTAATGTATTAGATCTGTACATTGATTTACAATAGATATATTACTGTATTAGATCTGTACATTGATTTACAATAGATATATTAATGTATTAGATCTGTACATTGATTTACAATAGACATATTAATGTATTAGATCTGTACATTGATTTACAATAGACATATTACCGTATTAGATCTATACATTGATTTACAATAGACATATTAATGTATTAGATCTGTACATTGATTTACAATAGACATATTACTGTATTAGATCTGTACATTGTTTTACAATAGACATATAACCATGTTAGATCTATACATTGATTTACAATAGACATATTACTGTATTAGATCTGTACATTGTTTTACAATAGACATATAACCATGTTAGATCTATACATTGATTTACAATAGACATATTACTGTATTAGATCTATACATTGATTTACAATAGACATGTTATATATTGATTTACAATAGACAGGTTACTGTATTAGATCTGTACATTGATTTACGATAGACATGTTACAGTGTTAGATCTATACACTGTTTTTCAGTGTGTTTGTACTATTATATCATATCAAGTTTGTAAAATTTATTATAACTAAACCGTTCTTGCATTGATGCCTTTCATATATTGATAGATATACTCAGATACAATGGCATTGTCTTTATGTTTGATTTTTGACACTTTGTGGCCATGTACATGTACACAGTTATGTTTTTCTTGTCATTATGCATTATAAAAAAATTCTGTGCTTGTTTTTGGAAGATAGATAGTATATTTTCAGGGTGTTAAGGCATTTTCTAAAAAAAAAATACTGTATGATTTTTTAGAAAGTATAGATTTTAAGAGTTTTTTGGAAGTTACAATGTTCCGAAGATTATTGCTATATATTCCTTAAAAGTCTTTTTCACTGTCTCTATAAAGGTATAAAAAAATTCCTACAATTGTGTTTTTCAACATTTATAAGTGTCCAAATTTTACCTATGAATAAACTCCTTTTTTGTGTACTTGAATCAGGAGATATATTTTGTAATGACATCACAAAAGTGCTTCTGGAGGGCATTATTTTAGCATTAACATTTTCCAAACATATCTTGTGCAATGTCTATGCAATGTAAACTGTACGGAAACACTATATATGGAAACACAATACATGTACCGTAGTTATCCAATTGAGTCTGTAGAAACACTATTTGTTGTGATAAAGATTTTGACAGGTTATATGGCCTTATATAAATGATTGTTTGCACATATAACCCTGAGCCACTAAGGGAGGGTTATACTGCAAAGAACCGTTTATATACGGCAGGTTATATGGTCGTAAATGTATGGTTGTTTGCACATATTACTAAAACCACTAAGGAAGGGTTATAATGCAAGCAACAGTTTATATATAGCCATATATCTGGTCAAGAATATTTAAAATGAATTTATTATACAGCAATTGTACTTTAGTTGAGAAAAGGAAGAAATTACTTCATAAATTGTCAGCACAGCAGTCAGGTAAATACTTTATATAAACATCATAATTATCCAATGAAAAGCGACGTTACAAACA